AGACTGGAAAAAAGGACTTCTGATCAAGATACCAAAGAAAGGCGATCTCAGCAAGTGCGACAACTACAAGGGCATCACTCTCCTCTCAATACCAGGAAAAGTCTTCAACAGAGTAATGTTAAACAGGATGAAGGATTCGGTGGACGCCCAACTTCGAGATCAACAAGCTGGATTTCGTAAGGATAGATCGTGCACAGATAAAATCGCAACTCTACGTATCATTGTGGAACAATCAGTTGAATGGAATTAATCATTCAACATCAACTCCACTGATTACTAGAGAGCATTTGATGGTGTGGATAAGACAACACTATGGAGTCTTCTTAGACACTATGGCGTGCCTGAGAATATAGTCAATATCATATGGAATTCTTATGATGGATCAAACTGAAAAATCGTTCATGGAGGACAACTCACTGACTCATTCGAGGTAAATACCGGTGTTAGGCAAGGTTGTTTACTCTCACCCTTTCTCTTTCCCCTGGTGATCGACTGGAGCATGAAGACGTCAGCATCTGGAGGGAAGCAGCTGGACGATTCAGACTTCACAAATGATCTGGCTCTTTTATCACACATGCAACAATAAATGCAGGAGGAGACAATCAGTGTAGCAGCAGTAGGTCTTAATATAAACAAAGGGAAAAGCAAAACTCTCCGATACAATGCAGAATGCATCGATCGAATTACACTTGACGGAGAAGCTTTGGAGGATTTGAAAACCTTTACATATCTGGACAACATCATTGATGAACACGGTAGATCTGATAGAGACGTAAAGATGGGGATCGGCAAAGCAAGAGCAGCATATTTACAACTGAAGAACATCTGGAACCCAAAGCAATTGTCTACTAACAGCAAGATCAGAATTTTCAATACAAATGTGAAGACAGTTCTACTGTATGGAGCGGAAACCTGGAGAACTACGAAAGCCTTCATCCAGAAGATACATGCGTTAATAACAGCTGTCTACGTAGAATAATTCAGATCGGTTGGTGAGGCACTATCAGCAACATTCTACTATGGGAGAGATAAAACCAGATTCCAGCGAAGGAAGAAGTCAGGAATGAGCTCTGGAAATAGATAGCACACTGTGATAATTAGAAGTATTTGGATTTTAGTATAAACTAGAAATCTCAGAAATAACGCAATTTAATCAAGAAGTACTAGATAAACACGAACGAATGTATTTGAATTTGGAATTCGAAATGAAGCAGTCATCAAATAGAAAGGAATCATTAGTTCATAAAAACGCCACAGGTACACATTGAGGAAAGCACCCAAATACGTCACAAGGCAAACCCTCACTTGGAATCCTCAAGGTCAAAGGAGAGGTGGATGACGCAGAACAGATTGCGCCGAGAAATGGAGACAGACATGAGAAGAATGAACAATAATTGGATAGTACTAGGAAGGAAGGGCCAGGACAGATTGGGTTGGAGAATGCTTGTCGGAGGCCTATGCTTCATTGAGAGTTAAAGGCGTAATTAACTAAGTAACTCATAGTCACCTTATAACTGCCTAACTGACCATGCTCATCAGATTTTATCATTAATAACTGCTTAATTCTGAACACAATTGACCCTATCAGTAACATCTACTCGCTAGCAAACACATATAATTATTAATGAAGCTAAAGCAGCTTATGTAAATTATTCATCTCTGTTAATTTACTTTTCCCCATAGACTAATTTCAATTGAGTGTATGTATGTTCTTGTTTTCCAACTAGAGTTTATTTCTTACTGTTTCGTTCTAATGCCTTCAAATGTCCATAAACAAGACTGATATTAAATAATGAATAGCAATTTCAAAACAAACAGTAAATATCAAATAAATGAATAATTAAATTGATTTGTTGTTTTGGTCAGTATTTTCTCTCCCTTCACTTGAGTTTATCTTCCAAAATACAAACTAATGCGACAAATGAAAGATAAGTGATCGGAGAAAAGACGAGTGAAAAAAGAACAAAAATGGGAACAAACTCTCAAAGAGACGAATGATCCAAATCACAGTTAATCTTTTCTGGCTCATCTTAACTAGATACTTAAAAATTAGCATATTTTACATCACCTAGTGTGCAATCCTAGTTAGCTGCTAAACAAAGTTGAATAACGGCTAGCAGCGCGATTCAAAACACGTGTTTTGCTGTAGTAGAAACTCGTCAGCTGAATTTGCACTTGCATCTCAACGTCGATTTTCATTAGGGTAACTCGAACCCAATGCTTTTCGGTTCAAACACCCAAGACTTTATTCCTTGACTTAATAAATTCAGATAGCCAGTTGCTCATGAAACGAGAGTGAATTCCGTTTGTAAGTGTTAGCTTGTATTAAAACTCTGGTGTATACATTTGGATAATTCAGTGAGAAGATAAAATATATCACAGAACTAATGTGATATAATATTAGCGCAATTCATTTTGAACAACAGTCTTACCATTCACTGACTTTCTATATATTTATAATATGATATGTAACGATCACATTAGACAAATTGGGATATAAGAAACTAATAAGAATATCAGTACAAATAATAGTGAATATAATAATAATAAGAAAATAGGGAAAAAATATGAATCCCACTGCTCTGAATAATAATAAATCAATATTTTCAAGATAAGTTCAAGGTGAGAAAAAACTGTTTTGGAGTATGTAAAATAGGTTTGAATCTTCATAATAGCTAATACTTGGTATTTACCCATTAGCATTTCTATACTATTACTATAAAAGCTAATTTAATCACAACAATTTGGCCATCATCTCAAATAAATATTTGGCAATCGATGAAGATGTTTGTTTATCATTTACTTTCATTTAAGTACAAGAATCCGTTGTTTTATAACCATTAAAGTATGTATTCAACCGCTCTCACAAGCAGATGACTACTTCTATTCCCAATATTTGGGTGCCGGTAAATTTACATTTTTAACAGTTAGCAGCATGATCTAATTTTTCAGAAAAGGTCAAGTATAGCACCAGATGTTAATATCGAGCAACAAGTTTCTGTAACTACACCTGAAGACGTTTTGGAGCTACTACTGGACGCAATCCTGGGTGAAACAACAGGGTTGGTTGTATTGCAAGTAATTCCACCTCCGAAAAATATAACCCCGCTACAAAAATGCTGATCATGTGAAGAAAAGTTATGACGTCACATGATGATACCCGAGATTTTTGGAAGCAACGACCCCGCTGCCCCTTATGACAAACAGGACAACGATTAATATATGTACAATGAATGTCCGGATGATGTGGGAGACCAGGTGAGTCATTCGAATAGTAGCCTAATTGAGAACATACAATGATGTGAACAGAGAAATGAAGCCATGGCGAACAACGGGGGATATTTTTGCGACATTACTTTACATAATCCAAAGTTTGTAAACTATTTATATTCAGTTTTGTCTCTAGGTAATTTTATAAACTATAAGCTTTAGTTTGATGTACGATCCATTGATATACCTTTATCTATTCCAAAGCTACTCTAATTTAAACATAACATTTTGTGCTCTATTTTTCTACCGTAATGCTTAGTTTGGACATAATTGTATGTTTCATATAGTTTGTGCGTTGTGGTATTAATCGTTTATTTATTTATGTATCTCTTTAAATTAATCTGAACCAGGATTAAATCGAGTAGTGATCCAGTTGCCATGTCTTCTCTTTCTCACTTGCCAACCAATCAGGGGATAGAATATTTTCCTGTCTCTCTTCCTAAAACCGTTAGTTTCAATTTGAACTCATGGATTTCTAGCCTTAAGATTGAACCAGTTAGGGACTTAACCTAGATCGAGACAGATCAAGGACGCAACAGTGTTTGAAATGAGTAGAACCAATTGTACACAATCTAAACAAGAAAGATTAACTTAGAGTTGTTATTGTATTCCGGTGAAGAAGAAAATGATTCCTAGATATACACGGAGTTGAGCTGTTGTTCAAAGAATCACTAAATTGCTTAGAGGACGGTAAACCTATTGCTCCAGGGTTATCGAAGAATCCTTAAAAGAAAGGTCACAATGAATGACATCTAGTGCTACACAACCACTAATGATAGAAACAAAGATAACAACTATCAGTTTTATTAAACGCTGTAGTCCGTTCTAGAAAAATGCTCAGAGAAACACCAATTCATCCTGAGGGGCTATGTGAACGTCGATGTTCGGATGGACAATACATGTTATCAACGCAACGTGGGGCGAAATACACTGGCAGAAAGAGACGAAAATGATGAAAGATTGCTTTCAATAACAAGATTGTAGGTGGCACCATATTCCTTCAAAAACGCATATACAAAGATACATAGGTTTCACACTACAACAAACAAGACCGACCACATCGAGATGAATCGAAAAATCAGAAAGTCCATATAGCTTCATACTACCAGCTGGCAATGATCAAGCTAAAACTGAAGTTAATGAAGCACTTGATAGTTAGACAAGTAGGATAATAACAGTCTAATACAGCCGTTTTTTAAAATCCCAACAAGCTCACCGAGTTCAAGATCTCAGCAATAAGTTTCAAGTCTTAAAAGACCTACTTAAAGGGGAAACCATTATGGAGATCAACTGGAAAGGGGCCCAAAGAATCATCAGGATAGAGGATAGATCTGTGTATATAGCCTGGATAAGAATGACTTCCGAATCATTTTCACGATAAATTATTTATTCTATTCGCCTGTCCTCTGATAACCTGAAAAGTATGCAAACACTTTTCAGGATCATTTTAAAAGACGTTGAAAATTTTTATTTTGGCCGTTGGTAGATGGTAGTTAGCTACAATGAATCTGTCGCACGATTTTGCATCAAAATGTCTTAATTTTAATAATAATCACTCATATGTGTTGCACCCTAGTTATGTACTTAGTAAGATTGAAAAAATTTTATGGTACATGTACGGCCTTATTTTCTTCACATATGCAATCAAGTAAATTTTCTAAGTTCGAAATGGAATAAAGGCTACTTATGACCACTTTGATTTGACTTTCTAATCAGACAATAAGTAATGTGGGGATTCGCATGATCTATTAACCATGTAACAAGTGATACATAAATAATGTTGAACTAGTGAAGAAAAAAAATTAAAACCTATATACAGTCAATATGAGATTAATAAGCTGAACAAAGCTACCTCTAACACAATAACAACTGAAATAAGAATGTCAGATGATCGATTAGTTCAACGTAGGTTATTCAGATTATTTTCGAATGGATTAACAACTTCCCGATATTACTGTCACAGTTGAGTCAAAAGTACCAAAAATTGTAGAATATCTTTTCAACTAAATAAAATTTAAAAAATACACCTATTTTTTGTTATCAAATATGGTTTTCTTAATAAAACATGAATATGCGCGAGAAACAGAGGACAATACGATAGATAAAAATTCAGAAAAGGTAATGATGAAACAAAACAGAACTATAAGAAAAAACCAAGAGAAAGTGGTGACATGAAAAATTACACTGACTGTATTAGCAGTTAGATACATTGAAACAGCAAAGGGTAATCAAAAAGAAACACACAAGCCAAAAGACAGACACAGAGAGGAAGCAAACACTCACAAGTACAAAGTTTATGCACAATACACTTATTTGTTTATACAAATATTGAGTAATAATAATAATAATAATAATAATAATAATAATAATAATAATAATAATAATAATGGGAGGTTTCTATGCAGATACACAAATACATTAATCAGACACAGAATATAGAAATAAATAGGACCATGAGGTACCTCGAGAGTTTGGGCAAATTAAACATGGTTCAATAGGAAGAAGTGAGAGCGTAATGCAATATTTGTACAAAGAGTAATGTACTTATTTAATCTTATCTGGTTTACTGATATATACTAATACTATTATGATTAATATTAGTGTTATTTACTGCTGGTTTATACGAAAAACAAAGGATTACAGCTAGTCAAAACTTATCAAGAGTATCTACCTATAGACAACCTCTGTATTAGAAATCAAAATGCGAGGAAAAAAATCAGGATGACAACATACACCTCAAAGGAATGAAGTTGTTGACAGTGGGGAGCAGGGCGTGGGGAAGCGAACAATCAGAGGTAAGACGCAGGAAACACCAAAAAACTTAACAACCTTTAATTTATCATGAATTACAGATTATCTTTGTCAGATTAAGCAAAGGTAAAAAATAGTGACGATTCACGAGTTTCAATCAAAGATTAATAATTCAGGAATAAAAAAACCAAAGGAGATACAAGTTAGTTCAGTTGTGACAATATGAAACTAAATATGTTTTGAAGATGATGAAGACGAAGTGGTGATTAGGAAAAGAAAAGAATATATATATAATATAATTCATTCAAATGCACAATCGTTTCTGACAAATTTCTCTTTTACTCCCAATTGTTTATTCTGCATGTTGTTGTTCATTATTCCACATTGTTCAGTCGACACGGCTACTGTCGCAAAAATTGATTTTTGCGGAGGGGGGAATGTTAGAATTTCGTATTTAGTCATATGACTATTATTTTACAAATCAAGTGGTGTAGGAAGTTTACAAACATAAAAATTGTTCTGTCGATAGCATACAGACATACACACACAGTTTGATAAACATGATTCTAGATAATAATATTATTACAACGGTGGATGACATCGTTGTTCATCTAAACGTGTCGATTGAACACGTTGAATTAATGCAAATAGATCGTTAGCATCACCATCGTCTTCATTATCAAGGACAGCTGGGACAGAATATCGATTTGTTAAATTATTAAATGCACCGGATGAAGTGTATAAAGTTAATTCTCTATGTGAATTAGATGTTGTTGCTTCTGATGTACTTATTGGTTGACGAATTTCCCTGGAACCCTCACCATTGTCATTAATACGATGGGTTGGATTAGTATGTGATTGAACTTGAGTAAGGGGATCAGGTAGATTGGTTCGTTGGTCATTGATTCGTGTACATGTCTGTAAGAGAATAAAGTAGATACGATGAACGATAATATTAAGACTTTCGAGGTGTCGTGATCTCTAAGTTGGCTTGTTGAGTTGTAAAGCTTTCATTGGCTTTCTAGAAAACATCATCAGCACATACTCCAAAAGAAAGTGAGCTATTAGAATTTTTTCACAGTTGACTAACAGCTTATTTTGTTAACCTGGAATTTGATTGGTTGTTGTTCATAGTTGTGTTACCATTGCTTGAGAACCTAATTTGATTGTCTTCTACCTTAGTCTGACCTCTGATCTCAAGGTTGTTTATGCTTTATCTCACTGATTAATTTTATTATGTCTATCTTTCAATAAGGTGCTCTGGTCGGTCACACATCGATCAATAGGTATACTAAAATCGAATAAACCTATTTGAGGTTAGAGGTCGGGGCCAGGTAACAATCTGAACTAGAGATGTAAATAACGGTGAAACGACTAGGGATAGCAACTAATCGAATCTCATGCTGACAGAACAATCTGTTAATCAAATATAAACAACTTCGAATAGCCCACTTCCCTTTGAAATATTTGCTGATAATGTTATTTAGAAAAGCAATGACAGCTTCACAACTAAACTATCCAACTCAAAGAAAATAACCACACCTTCGGAATATGGTGGAAAGTTGGTTAGAAAACGAAAATATTTGGAAAACAAAAATATTAGCAATACTTGAATACGTGATTCGAAGTATAATTTTCAACAACTCTTAAGTGATTCGATGGAATTCACTTTTGGATAAGAATTAATTCTGACAGTCAGAACTTAATTTTACTGGTACTTGAGTGATCTAGATTATGTGTGTCTTTCGACTGTCTTTATTTCAATAACTTCAAATAATGTTTAAAGTAAATTTATATCGTGCATAAGTGTGTATGTTTACTGAAGGAAAAACCTATTTTTCTAACCAGTTGTTGTATTCCCCTCAGATGATATCAGTACAGTCGAGGACTCGAATAAATAAAATCAACATCTTAAGCAGATATCAATCGGTTACATCATATTAATGTGTTCATCATATGATTTATTTACTTTAATAATCAAGAACTCACTCGTTTATCAGATCATCAAATTTCTAGGCCCTAGCACTATTTAAATACATGTTTATGAAGATCCACTTCTAAAGCGGAGACCAGTAATACTATATAGCTGCCCCAATCAAAGTAGAGGTTGAGTGGAGTTCGACCAAACAATTCAACAGATGATACTAGAATACTTTAACAGTTAGATCACTGTTCCACTCTCTTATAGCTTTATAAAGATAATTGTTGATCAAGTTACAGCATGGACATATATTAAAATTTATTGAAAAACTGAGAATAGTTAATATGATCTTCACAATTATACTATGTTCTATAAACTTTATAAAATAAGGCTGTTTAACGAACAAATCACTTAATTTATTTGACGAGCTGCGTATAATTCCTAATACACTTGATTACTCAAAGGTAATCTCAATACTTTTCAGCCTACGTCACTTATGGTGCTAGAGCCATGGATCCAAGTACCTATTATAGGATGAGTATTCCATAACTAGAAGGCCATTTTGTACTGTTCCATACAGAAGTGGGAAATAGTCATTTCAAAACTTGTAAGACATACATAGATTATGAGTGTTCAATAATATTATTTTTCATTGAAATGGACCACTGAAAGAGTCATGATGAGGTTAGATGCAGTTATATAGAAAAGATAACTGATTAGATGAAATTATAAGCCTCTACCGATCTAGATGACTGTCAAAAGTTATGAACATTATCGACAGCGTTTGGAAGTGAGAAGAAAAACACCTCACATTGGATCAAAACATCAGAGTCCAGTATGTATATCAAAGTTCAAACCTGTTGGATCTAAGATGAGTAAGGAGGTAGGATAACACTAATATTAATGTAAAATCATCATATCAAAGTCGATAGAAAAAGATGTAAACAAACTAGAATAATCAAAAGTGGAATTCACTAAGGATTAGTAAAGAAAAACAATAGACGATGAAGAATAATGAAGTTTCTTAATTCGACTTCGTACTAACGAGGAGTCCTATTCTAGGACAAAACAGCTGTCCAGTGGTTCATAGTTTTAGTGGTGGTTTAGTCACGATCAGTTCGTGATTTAAACTAAGAAAATATTAGTTATTATTGCATTTGGGAAATTTAACGCTTTTGAAAATCAGCCAGAAATGACTAAAATCGTCGTTTTGGAATTCTTGAACCATGCTGATTCTTAGAAACATCTAGTTTTTCATATATACAGACACTTTTCACTACTTCACTGTCAGTCAAAGATGGAACAAAACTTCTGATATTATCTGTTATGTAGTAGCGAAGACATAAGTACGGGTAACTTGCAGGACCTACTATCGGACTATCATTCTTATTGTATGACTATTCGGTAACTAGATTATCTAAGCTTTATTTTGACCTATTGATTATTACTATGTGATTTATTGTCCCTATGTTATGCTCAGTTTTATTGATTATTGTCTCCCACGCTTACAGCCTCATTTGGCCTGGTTTTGTACAAATATTATTTTCTATTTTATGGTGTGGTGTGGTCTGCCTGTCTGGTATATAGATAAAGTATGTTTGAAATAAACGATTCGCATTACAGTAACTGCTATTGGTGTTATGGACTCAAGTGGACGGGTTAAGCGGATAAGGACGCTAGATTACTTATATTAATCGAACGTCATTGTCACAGTGTGAAGGTTGTAGAAGGCGTATTCTATTGGTGGATAATTTACGCGGATTACGTCCTTGTTAAATTCGTAAGGTCATAACGAATCAGCGACGACCTTGATCAAGTCATAACAATTGGCTACAGTCTAGGTCAAAAACATAACAAATTGGCGACGGGGATTCTAGCAAAAGAAATACAGCAGTCGGTGACGTCATTTTGGAATTAAATAATCCATAATAATTGCCGGTGTTTTTTTGGATTTATTATTATTATTATTATTCGCATTAAAAAAGTGTCAATTTCTCAAGAACAGTTGCAGTTAATAATACAGCAGCAGCAGATGTTAGCTTCTCAACAACAACTCATGGAAGCACTTTTGGCAAAAATGTCTGTTTTCTACAAGATATTCCAGAACATAGAAGCATGGAGTCATATCTTAATGCAATTCCAGAATTTATTTTCGATGCAGACAGCGGTCACACTTTTGAAGCATGGTTTGGCAGAATTGAAGATATTTTTCGAGTAGAATTTGCTGCTATGGAGGACGCAAAGAAAGTCCGGTTGCTTTTACAGAAGCTTGGTCCTAATGAGCATCAGAAGTATAAAAACCATATCCTGCCTAAACATCCACGAGAGATTAGTTTCGATGAAACTGTTAACATTTTAAATAAAATGTTCTGTGAACAGATGTCTCTACTTCGTATCCGGTATAATTGTGTTGGGGATGTCAAATCCCCAGAAGTTACTTGGTAAATGGCTTAGTTTTGTAATTTTATTTTGAAAATTTTGAATTTAGCTGTTTCCGCGCCGAACGCGCTCTTTTTACCTCCACGTCATATTTCCCACTTGTAAACTATCTTAAACGCTATTGGTCCATTGTTTCTTTGTGTGTGCTATTTACTAATGATGCTCAAGGACAAATTGTTGTTGTATAAATGCGCTTGACTTTTTCCCTTATTTGATCGCTTGTACTCGGCTGCTTACGGAATACATACATATTCCCCTACTTGCCTTGGACTTCTTCATCTAGTTAGCGGGGCCTGGGACAATCGATTAGAATAGCTTATCGTGTCATTGATTTCGTTCGTTACCGCGGAATCGATTTAGTGTCAAGCATAACAAATTGTCTACAACTGACTAGAGAAGCTGATGAGGATTATACTACGTATGCCGGAAGAGTAAATTTACAAGCGGAACGATTTAAATTAAATGTATTAACCAGTGATCAATTTAAATGCTTATTATTTATTTCTGGTCTGAATTCTCCCAGCGATGCTGATGTTCGCATGAAGTTATTATCTCGTATGGAACATGACGAAGAAATGACGCTACAAACTGTTACTGGTGAGTGTCAACGATTAATAAACTTGAAAGAGGACTTGGCTATGTTAGAAACCAAAAGAGCTGCACCATCTAATCATTCTGTCCATGCTGTTAAGACGAGTCAACGACAAAAAAGTGCCAAAAGCTATTAAAATCACACGAAAATTCCTAAACCTTCGACGAAATGTTGGTATTGTGGCGCATGGCACTTCTCAAGATTTTGCAGATTTAGAAATCATAGATGCACGGTGTGCAATAAACTTGGTCATAAAGAATCAGTTTGCCGGACTAGAGAAAATTTGAGATCAAAGCCTACGAAGCGTCCTCACCAGTTTCAAAACAAATATATTAACAGTATATATTCTACACGAGCTCTAAGTATGGCAGATAAAAGAAGGTATGTGGAATTAGTGGTTAATGGTGTTCATGTCCGATTACAATTGGATACAGCGTCAGATATCACATTGATCTCTAAACGAACATGGAATTTAATTGGTTGTCCACAAGTACTACCTACTGAGCATACTGCACGAAATGCATCCGGAGATATATTAAAGCTTGTTTGAATTATAAAATGCTCTGTTGAATTTCGAGATAACTACTTCACAGGGAATTGCTATTTAACGAACAGGCATGACTTAGACCTTATTGGAAGAGATTGGATAGATAAACTAAACCTATGGGATGTACCATTGAGTGAAATATGTATGATGAAGTGTACAAACAGTCCTAAAGATCTACCCATGGTTCATGTAACTAAGAAAGCCATAACGATAGAGGACCTCTTGCAGAAACATAAGAAGTTGTTCCAGAATAAATTGGGATGTTGTACCATTGGAAAGGTAAAGTTATATTTACGACAGGATGTAAAACCAGTTTTTTTTGTCCAAAACGCCAAGTCCCGTATGCAGCCACCGATAAAGTTGACAAGGAATTAGATCGATTAGAGAAACTGGGTGTTATACAACCGGTTAATCATTCAGCATGGGCAGCACCAATAGTAGTAGTGCAGGAAGCAAACGGAACTATTCGCCTGTGTGCAGACTTTTCAACAAAATTAAACGATGCTTTACAAAATCATGGGGAGACAGAAGTTTATAATATGGGTTTGCGTAATGATGCCCATAATTCTGATGAAATTTCGTATAAAGTTGAGAAAAATAAGTCGGTCGAATCAGATGGTGATCAAAAATCTAATGCAAATTTTATTAGATGCCGATTCTCCTAGTTATCTAATATCCTCTAGTGAAAATTTTAATGAATTTGATGGAGATATTTCAGAAAAGCCGAATTCCAGTAACCTAAAATCATATATCGTTCATCATCATCTATTCATTTCTAGTAGATTCTGCGTTCAATACGAGAAATATGTCCTAAATAAAGTCATACTAATTGTATTTTGGAGATATGAGGATCCAACAATATTTCGTGGGGGAGGAAATGTTGGAGAATTTCAACTTACAGATAATTTTTTTAAATCAGAAGCTAATCTTCGAATCTTCAAAAAAGGGGAGGTGTTATGTAGTAGCGAAGACATAACTTTCAGGACCTACTATCGGACTATCATTCTTATTGTATGACTATTCGGTAACTAGATTATCTAAGCTTTATTTTGACCTATTGATTATTACTATGTGATTTATTGTCCCTATGTTATGCTCAGTTTTATTGATTATTGTCTCCCACGCTTACAGCCTCATTTGGCCTGGTTTTGTACAAATATTATTTTCTATTTTATGGTGTGGTGTGGTCTGCCTGTCTGGTATATAGATAAAGTATGTTTGAAATAAACGATTCGCATTACAGTAACTGCTATTGGTGTTATGGACTCAAGTGGACGGGTTAAGCGGATAAGGACGCTAGATTACTTATATTAATCGAACGTCATTGTCACAGTGTGAAGGTTGTAGAAGGCGTATTCTATTGGTGGATAATTTACGCGGATTACGTCCTTGTTAAATTCGTAAGGTCATAACGAATCAGCGACGACCTTGATCAAGTCATAACAATTGGCTACAGTCTAGGTCAAAAACATAACATTATCTTCTTGACCATTTAATTCCATAATCTACAACATGGACTGATCTACGCAAAACAACTAATGAAAAACAGGAAACACTGGAAAGCTGCTTCGTCTTGGTATGGGAATTCTCAATAGTGTCCATTCACAATCCTACCGGTGATCGAACAAGGATCCACACTGATGAGAACTCTATATCAGAATGAAAGACCTATCCGGTGCTTCCACTTTTCCGGTGGTTGTCTAATTAGTATCATTTCGTAACTTAAACTATAGAATCGGACAATCTTCACAGACCCCCTTATAGTATTGTGTTTTGAATCGTTGAATACAAGCTTAGGAAGGTAGGCATTAGAGCAATCGTACGTATTACAGTTTTGAATGTACCGATAGCTTTCAACTTCCAAATCACTTAGTCAAGATTTGTAGGTAATATTAACGTATTAATTAGTTAGCCAGATTCAAAACAAAAAAAAACCCATTGAAAACAACCTACCTGAATTCGAAATATCATTTCTAAAAACTCATCGTCCAAATCACCAGTAGATGAAACAATATGACCGCGACGTCCACGTGTATCAACATCACTACCAGCAACAGTACTTCCTACTCCTCCCCTTACTACTGCTCTTCCTGCTTCACCGCCGCCATAACTAGCTCTTGTAGCAGGAACTGTAGTGGTGGTGGTTGAATTATGATCAAATACTCCAGTGACATCATCATTATTACTGCTATTATTGCGTAGTCTAGGTTCTGGAAGGCCATCACTTGCACAGCTACTTGTTGATTTGAACACTGAATTGGTTGAACCGAAATAACGGTCGTTATTATTATTATCTAATAAATGAAGACCTGGACCAGAACGTAGACCAGGGAAAACAGACAAGTTGGCTCGTTGGTCATTCATTCTAGCACCCTGAACATACATGCATAGAGTAGTAGAAACATAACAAGGAAAGAAAGGAAATAGAAATTATTGGATTATATATATATATATATATACATATATATATATATATATTTGTATGGTTTAGTTCGATTTAAAGAGAGAACTTTCATCACATCATACGCATACATAAAAATTGGACATTAGCTAAGCGGTTAGAATATTAAGCTTTCAGTGAAACACCTGATAGTCTTAGCTTCGATTCTTTGATGGTATTGTAGATGTCCACTGTTTAAGTCTCATGATAGGACGATGCAACTATTCAGTATTAGTAATATTAGCAATATTTGTCTAAACAAAGTTAGTCGATGATATGAAACTTCAAATTCAACAATTGTAATACTATTGTATATGTGTACATACATACCGGAAAAAAAAGATTGGAAATGAAGTCCTATAAAAGATGTTGCTTTTTGTTTGGTGAGTTAAACATTTCCTATTATTACAGAATAAAAGCTATTAAGACTTTTGTCTATTACAGATATCAGATAGTAGCAATGTTTATGAAATTAGATAACTAAGTTGATAATTGTAATTAATACTAATGAATAACATTGACGATTGAAAATGTGATGAACTGACTATTAAAAAAATTGGTTATATATTTTCCAGTCAAGAAAAAGCAAACAAAATACTACATGCTAACACTGCCTCACATTAATCAAAATACATTGGATTGACACGGAGCAGTAATTTTTATGATCTCAAGTAACTATGATGTAAGTAAGTAATGAAGTAAAAACGAAGTTAGGTAGGTGAACGTCATTGAGAAGTAGGGTTAGATAAAAGTTTCATACTATGATTGATACTTCTTTTGACAAGTTCTATCTGTAATCTTGAGGCAACAGATGCTCCACTGCCACAAACGTTGAATCCGTATCACTACTTGGTGTATCACAGTGATTGAAGACTTCAACACTGAACAATTCGGGGTGCAACCAACTTCCTGTAGGACTGAAACTTTTACATTCACTAGTGTTATATCTTGTGTCCGAATGGATGGGTAGTTGATATGTGACTCGATAGAACCGCCAATTAGGGAGAGCGAATTATCGGTTGGAACAGTGACACGAAACCCGTACGAGCAGACTAGATTGCTAACCGATCCTGCGATCTGCCTAACCCAGCCAGTTGAGTCCAGAACACAAATAACAGCCTCGGCAATATGGATCATTATTTACAAACATAATGGGTTTTTATACAAACCAAAGTAATCAATAACTGAGTATAACTCAAGAACCGTATGATAATAAATCAAAGATCAAAATAAAGCTCATGATAAGAGAAACACAAATATGAATAGTTTAGTTACGTAACAATTGTACAATACGCATAATACATTGGTCGATAAATAGACCTTGGAGTTACCATTCATAATTCACCAGGGGATATAACACCTCCCCTTTTTTGAAGATTCGAAGATTAGCTTCTGATTTTAAAAAAAATTATCTGTAAGTTGAAATTCTCCAACATTTCCTCCCCCACGAAATATTGTTGGATCCTCATATCTCCAAAATACAATTAGTATGACTTTATTTAGGACATATTTCTCGTATTGAACGCAGAATCTACTAGAAATGAATAGATGATGATGGACAATATTTGATTTTAGGTTACTGGAATTCGGCTTTTCTGAAATATCTCCATCAAATTCATTAAAATTTTCACTAGAGGATATTAGATAACTAGGAGAATCGGCATCTAATAAAATTGCATTAGATTTTTGATCACCATCTGATTCGACCGACTTATTTTTCTCAACTTTATACGAAATTTCATCAGAATTATGGGCATCATTACGCAAACCCATATTATAAACTTCTGTCTCCCCATGATTTCGAATCAAATTTGGCACAATTTGGTTAACTATACTGTTCCAGTTATTTTCTGGAGATGCGTTCTTCCAGTTTTCTTGGCCAACATCACGGAAACTGTAGTTCTGTTCTGACTTGAGTTTGTTTTCAGAGATGGGCGGATTTAATGGTGTTTCATTTGATTCTGGACTCCTGGGGTTGTCTGCGGAACCTTCTTTTTCTTGCTCATCTGATACTGTCACAGTTTCATGCGCATTAGGCAAGATATTGTCTTGCTCTGAACCGGCCAACTTACCAATTTTGCATTTTCCGTGAGATATAAAGGGAATTGAACCCTCAACATAGCGTTCTTCTGAGACGGCCATTTCCGCACCATTATCTGCATTATAAATAATTTCTTTATTTTCTGAAACGTCTCGTTTAGTGAAAAATTTGTCCAAAAATGTTTCAATTAGTTTCTGCTGGAAGCTTAATATCTGCTGATGCTGCTGTATTATTAACTGCAACTGTTCTTGAGAAATTGACATTTTTTTTTACCAAAATCCCCGTCGCCAAATTGTTATATCTTGTGGCCGAGTGGATGAGTAGTTGATGTATGACGCGATAAGACCGCCTAACAGGGATCAGCGTATTGTCGATTGGAACAGTGACACGAAACCCGTACGAGCAGACTAGATTGCTAACCGATCCTGCGATCTGCCTAACCCAGCCAGTTGAGTCCAGAACACAAATAACAGCCTCGGCAATATGGATCATTATTTACAAACATAATGGGTTTTTATACAAACCAAAGTAATCAATAACTGAGTATAACTCAAGAACCGTATGATAATAAATCAAAGATCAAAATAAAGCTCATGATAAGAGAAACACAAATATGAATAGTTTAGTTACGTAACAATTGTACAATACGCATAATACATTGGTCGATAAATAGTCCTTGGAGTTACCATTCAAAATTCACCAGGGGATATAATAACTAGCTACCACTTAATAATCAACAGATATAAGCGACAGACTGGGCGACTATGGACATTATACTTGCTGCACTTAAATGTCATCCCAAGGTCAAATGGCAGATTAAAAATTAAAGAGGTGCATTATTGGAGAAAGTCCATTAACAAACTAAGCAAGGTCTCAGCTTACATGTCCTTGTCTAAGTCAGAGGGAGAATTGCATATATGCCCATGATTTATGCATATCACAATTCGGTTTCGCGATGAAACCTTCATACTTATTTCAGTCTTCTCATTTGCATAAAAGGATTTATTATATAGTAAATGAATTGGATCACAAAAACAAACAGTAAATTAATATAACAACGTAATACAGAAATACACACATATTCAGAACGTAAAAGATAATTAAATTTACCTGAACCCCTTCGATTAAGTCAAAGAAAGCTTCTTCATTTGTACCAATTTGATTACGGAGTGAAGAGTTATCATAATCAGGTGTATGACGAGGATTTCCAGATGATAACTGAACATTGTTTGACTCTTCTGCATTACTTGTTTCAATCGATTGAATTGGTGGTGTACCTTGTCCAGTAGTGCGTAAATAACAACGTTGTTCATCCATACGACGAGACTGTGATTCAAGTAGAAGTGAGAAAAACATTTCTTGATCTACTGAACGTTCTTCTTCAACCAGAGATGCAGCAGCGACTGTAACTGCTGACGAACTAGTACCAACAGTGTTATATGCATTTCCAGAATCTAAATTTTCACTTGATAAATTAGAATTTCTATTCATTTGAGACATGGATTCAATTGATTCTAAATTGCCTTCAATATCTTGAAGATTAGGTATATCAATTTGTTGAGATAAACTTGGACGAAATGATGGGGCACTTAAATAAAATTCAACCTGAAAATATTTTATTTTATAAAATAAATAATCATAATCAAAATTAATTTCAACTTATTACATAAATTCAAAATAATACTCTTAAATATTAATTTATTTTAATATAAAATATTCTACACTTGCATTCGTACAGGGATAGTAACTGATTGGTTAAGACGTTTAACCAAACAGTAATCAAGTCTCAGGTGAAAACCCTGGGTCCTTTATCTATTTCGGATTGGATAATTGGATAGTATCATACACTAGACTTCGCAAGTAGAGAGTATCTTTAAATCAAGAACACAAATCTATATCTGAAAAATGAGTTAGTAAACAAATAATCTATATAGTTGACACTTGTTCACAAGATATTAAGCAGGGTTTCAAAATCTTATACTTTTGTATATTTCGGTTTCACGATCATAGGAATATTGAAGACAGAATATTAAACGCATTCAATAAACCGAGATTAAACAAACTTCAATAAATATCAGCCACACTACAGGTTTGGAGACTAGTGAAACTCCTAAGGTGGCCGAATCCACGTAGAGAGAGGGGCTTCGAACTTCGGACAAAAATTAGTAGGCATTGAAAGCGAGATTTTTCATAACATTACACTTATGTGTTGTTCGGCTTGGTAAGATTAGAAGTAGTAGGTTTAAAAGGAGCGATTTTAGTTTCAGATTATTTGAACAAGATATAGCATTGGACACAATGATGCTTCATAAAGCAATAATTTAGCAACCAAAAATTGTTTTGATAGTTCAGAGCTTTTAAGTCTTTAACCTAAATGTTTATTTCTTCACAAGACAGATGAACAGCATCAAGAAATGTATTCTGCTGGATATTTGGTTGATAAAGTAGATTCCTGCACAATATACAATCCTTGTTTGAGGAATTTTTTGAATTCCTTAGGCGAACCTTTCCTTTCTGCTAATTTAGTTCACCATTCCCTGGTGCCCTCTGGATTCTGTGGAAGGAACTACATCTGGGCCGTCAAAAGAGTGACGAAGAAGCACTTGGAAGGCGTTAAAGTGCACAGTAATTTTTATTACGTTGATAAATTCAGTCACAAAGTCTACTATTTACTGATTTTGTGACGACGGTAATCTGATGACCATTTTTTTAAACAAATTCTAATTTGAAAACAATTTACAATAAATAAATCACTTTAATCATCAAAAGTAAGGACGACCAAACAACACCATTTTTCCTAACATATGTACGCAAAATAGGCACAGAGCTGAATACACCAAATTATAATACATGTTACATTATTATTAGTAGGAGTGTTATTACAGGAAATAAATAAATGAGCCATGACACTACTTACCATGTTTTCCTTTTTCGATTCTGATAGAACAGGTGTTGGAACATCTAGAAAAAATAAATTTTAAAATAAGAACAATAACTACGGGAATTGAATCTTCGGTTATATAGAATAAGAAATTCAAATTAATTTTTTTGAAATTAATATTATTTTCTGCAGTTCATATTGAGAACTGACTTTAATTGGGAGACCTAAGACAACTAGAAGGTACTGGATAATTGCTTCGTTCTGAGTGAGACTCTTCAACAATGTACATCTACAAACATCACTGAAAATCAGAGCCAAAACTATCAGATCTCGCATCGTGTGCTTAGTCTTTAGACCACTGGGCTGGTTTATAATGGTTGACATCTCAGAGTAGGCTGTTACTGATGGTATCTGGTCAACGGACAATCAGTATCTTCCATAGACGATTGCTTACAAATACTTGTACATTTTTGATGATGGTTGTGGTAGTTCTCCAAGTTTCATCTCCGAACAGTAGAAGTGTCTTCAACTGTTGGAATGCTGTCCTTACTTTGCCAATCCTCGCCTTCAGGTCTGCAACAGATCCTCCAGGTTCATCGATAATGCTACACAGATACTTGAATGTTTTCACCTCTTCCAGAGTTTCTTCATCAAGTATGATTGAATTGGTTTTCTCTGTGTTGTATTTGAGGATCTTGCATTTCACGACCGATCCTTACAGAATCCAGTCTGTTGATCTCGAAGCTGGACATCTACTGAACCTTTTATCCGGTTCAGAAACACCCTGTTGAAAACTTTTCCTGGTACCGACAGTAGTATGATTCCTCTGTAGTTTCCACACTTGCTCATATCTCCTTCTTTTGTATTCAAATGAGGCATCCTTCTTTCCAGTCTGTCTGTGGTACTTGTTCTTCCTCTCAAATCATCCTGAATAGATTGTGAAGCATGTTTGCAGTTACTTCTATGTCTGCGTTTAGTGCTTCAGGTGGTATGATGTTGTCAGATCCTGTTGCTTCCCCACTCTTGATTTGTCTAATGGCCATCCTGATTTCTTCGATCGTTGGTAGAGTGACATGTACAGGAGGTTCTGTGTGTGCTGCCTCAATATCCGGTGGATTCAATGGAGCTGGTCTATTTAAGAGTTCCTCAAAGTGTTCCACCCATCTGTTCCTCTGTCCTTGAATTCCAGTGATTGGCTTACTTTCTTGATCCTTGACCGGTCTCTCTGATTTACTGTATTTCCCTACCAGTTTCTTCGTTGTGTCATATAGTTGTTTCATAATCCCTCGTCTTGAAGCATTTTCCCGCTGTTGTTGCTAGGTCTTCCACGGACTTCTGCTTGTTGGCCCTAATGCTCTTCTTCACTTGTTTGTTTGCTACTGTATACTCAGCTTGTGCCCTGAATTTCTCTGTTCTTGTTCCATTGTTGTTAATTTCTGTCTTCTTGTTCTTTTTTTCTCCAATCTTGTCTACAGTCTCCATAGAGAGCCATTCCTTATGATGATGCTTCTTGAGGCCCAACACCTCCTGACACGTTGAAGTTGTTGCTTCTTTGATTTATTTTCAGTTGTATTCCATAGTAGTTTCTTCTCCTTTCAGTAGATCTTGTAAGGCTTGGAATCTGTTGTTGAGAGTTATTTTTAATCGGTTGAGTTTGTCAGTATCTCGAAGGAAGGTTGTATTGAACCTTTATAATACTGTTTTCCCAGTTGTCCAGTGCTTCTCTAGCTTCAGTTTCATCTTGGCCATAATCAGATAGTAATCTGGAGCTATGTCAGCTCCTCTTCTGGTTCTTATGTCTTCTCATGTCTGACATTGTGAATTTTCTACTTATTTAAATGTGATCTATCTGGTTCTCTGTGGTGTGGTCTGATGAGACAACTTATGTAGCTTTGTGTATGCGTTTGTGTAGGAATATTGTGCCGACTATAACCATTTTGTTGAATGAACATAGATTTGCAAATCTCTCTCCATTTTTGTTTCTTTCTCCTAGTCAGTGCATGTCGTCCTATGATATCTTCATACTCAGTGTTACTCATTCGGACTTATGCGTTTAGATCTCCAATCAGGATGGTCAGGTCCCTTCCTTGACACTTCACTATGGTCGATTCCAGCCAAGTTGTTTCTTCACATTTTCATTGATTGGTCCTCCCGGTCTCCCACATTGTCCGGACGTTCCATGTACCTATAAAAATTATTGCTGTGGTTGTTAGAAAGGGCATCGACCTCGTGACATCCGATGAATCTCGACTTTCACCATGGGGTGTCATAACTCTTCCTTAAACTCGGAGGGCAGAGTTTAAATATTTTATTTTGGTTAGCGTATTTTTAGCAAGGTTGTTTTTTGCGGGATACGTTTGCTGACCCTACGCCTAAGCCTTCGCCTTTGTGCGGGCTTGAGACCGTCAGTAGCCCTAGAAGAACAACAGGTGAAGTATATTCTTAAGTTATTCCAGTCTATTAGTTATAGTCTCTTACAATCACACCCACTTTCGGCTTGATCTTGTATAATTGTTTTTTTATTTTAGATTGTGATGTGGTCTGATTTGCCTGTTTACAAACTACGTGTGTCTGAAACAAACTATTCATACAGTGGGGGCTGAGATTGTGTCCTAAACTCAATGGACAGGGCTACGCGGGAAGTTACTATTTTGAGGATCAATAAGGATTCAGAGTTGACGCAAGGCTGCTAGTGCTGGTTGATGTGTCATTGGTTTAGCACAGAAACAAAGTCATAGGAGTCGGTATTCTGATGGGCGGTTTTGTCGCATGATAATTGACAGAGGCAGAAGTTATAATACATAATACGACTATTTCCACAGCTACCCTCACTTATACTAATGATAGTATTGTCATATATGAAAAGAAACGCAGTAAAATAACATCATGTGGTTGGTCAATATAAATCATTTAATATTATCTAATGAATGATAAATTAATTATCAGAAGGGGTTTTGTGGAGATTTAGTATTTTCATAGTTGGAAGCGTGAGTCAATTGAAGCTAGACCATCAGGGAAAACCTGGAAGCACTGGACGGCCGTTTTGTCCTACTGTGGGACTCCTCAGCAGTGCGCATCTACGATCCTGCACTCGCGAGGTTCGAACCCAGGACCTACCAGCCTCGAGCCAGAGCCTTTAACCGATAGACCACTGAGCTGGCATACAGACATTAACACTGTTGGACGACATTCGTAGTACACGTCCAAGTACCGAAGTCGGTGTTGTAAGATAGTGATACTAATCTAATTGTCGTCACTTTTTGAGAATACATGTTGCCGATCGTCCGCATTTCTTGCGTAAAAGAAAAACCACGATAACTTTCTTATAATTCATATCTTTGCACTGACCTTTGCAGTCATCCGATTGAGTATGTTCATATTTAGTTCAGTTATTTTACTGTCCCTACATCATATATATAAGGTATCCTACTCCAAGTTTGTCTTGTTGGATATTATATTTTCATGATAACTTAATTTTCCCCGGTGTCCACCATTGAGTTGCGAATTATCATCAAGGTGATGCATGTCAGTTTCCGGTTTATCTAGCTTAGAATAGTATTACAATAATCTCAATCGTGCTTAATTAACAATTACAGTACCCTGATCACAAAAACTGAGATGCAACTATTAGGGAAACAAACACGATTCAAGTACAATATGCAAGAAAAAGAGAAAAATATAGTTTGTCTTTGACCGAAAAAATATTAATTACGTTAAATAACAAGTGAGTTGTTTTTTATTGCCCAAAAAAGTGAGTAACAGAATCTGTATAATGAAGTAATCAGTACTTATAAGTAATGTAATTAGAAAACATTGTGTAAATATCACAAAAGATTGACAGATACTAATACGATCGGATATATAAATCTGAAAGAAGATTAGCGATTAATCGACTATCAATAGTGAGTCAGGAAACTTAGAAAAACCGTAGTTAATAAACAATAATTCCACTGAAGTACAAGTACCAACATAAAATTGAGGTAATGATTATATAAGACAAGAAATCCTCCACACCATAATGGTGTTATCATCAAGGAGCGAGTGAACACATATGCTGTTTACTTTGTTTATCGGAGACCAGTTAGCCGTATTTATCACTATTCCACTTTTGATGTTCATACTAAGACTCGAACCTAGTAACTTTTGCTTCAAACTCCAATGCGTTATCCATTGAGCTATTCAGTCCAAATGACCATTAAGCTGTTCAACAAGTATTGGATTGTACAAAAAACGGTTTGAGATTTCCTGTTTTTGATATTCAAAACTCTAATTGACCAGTTTATGATGCTATTATCTTTATCCTGAGTGGATTGAATCGATATAGCTATTTTACCGATACATTTTAATATATTTAGGTTTTAGATAACTCGTTAATCTTTGAAATTATATTCAATAGATCAGAGTTCCAGTGGTAAAATTAAAACTGAGATACAGTAAGCGCTTCCTGGATTCCATTGCTAAGCACAATTCAACTTTACTAAAAGACAGACTTATCATTATCAGTAAGATTGTAAACTATAGTTATTACCCAATGCTCAATTTATTCAAAATTATCAAATCAAAACTTGGTAATGATATCTATAGTTATTACCATTCATTTTATTAGAATTGTACTAGCAGATGCTAAATACAATTATTAAAAGCAAAGTCGGATGTAGCTAATTGTTAAAACAGTAGATTTCTATATGCATATAGTTCAGAGATTAATAAGTCAAAAGGGGAATATGAAATAAACAAATAAGTTTCCTTTCCTCCCTCTCCCTCGTCATTTTCATTTTGGCTAAACTAGAACTTGTTCTTTTGATCTCAGTGTGTGTTATTATTATTACCATATAATGTTTATTTATTTATGATAAAAGCACATAAACGTCGATTATAATTTGTACCAATTTTCTGTCCATATATATACTAATGTGATATCATTTTTAGTACAATTATGATCATACATTTGTATGTATCATAATTATTTGTAAACGATTTTGTACAAACTATGGGATACTAAATAGTAACTATTATAATTAGTAGGTTATTTTTCATCACGGAAATTCATACAGTTGAAGAACTCGTGACAAGTAGGAAATATTTAACAGTTGTTTTGGTCATAGTTTAACATTCTTCACTAGTACGAAACTATGGCTTTAAGAGACTAATTGAAGCTAGGATCTTCTACAACAACAAATGACGCCAGTTAATAATGAAAATCCTCTTCAAATTATGAGAGATCTCTGGTAAAAGAAACAACCTAATTCAATAATGTTTTATATCTGCTATAGGTTTTAGCTGGATGAAAATGAAATATTCATATAAATGATAAATAATTAATCTATAGCTTGTACACATCATATACTGATCTCAGTTGAGGTACCAATGAGAACTAGAGAGTACTAGGCAGCTGTTTCATTCTAATATGACTATTGGTAATACTTCACATTAGTGGTCTTGCCAAGGGTCGGGCCCAGGACCTTCACGTTACGCGGTGAACGCCTAACCATTAGAACCATTGAGTGCGGATAGCTAAGTTATACACTAAAACGAAACAACTATCCAGCATCCCCTAGTTTTAAATGATATTCCAACCGAGATTAATTTATGACGAATACAACTGACAAATTAAACCGAAATCTTTCCAGCTAAACAATTAGTCCGTTATACAGAACTGAAAGGGAAATGTTAATATCTTCAGCAAATGGTAACTCCTATCAGTCAGTCGGTAATCGTCAACTAAGGGACTGTGACTCACGCTTTCAACTATGATAAATACTAAATCTCCACAAAACCCCTTCTATAAGTATATTGGCCTAAGTTTTAATATCACATTAGCCCAACAAGATGAAATTAACAGTTTGAATAGCAAAAAAAGACAGACATAATTTAGTAGCGATGCAAATCAGAAAAAATAAGCATTGGGAATATGGTTTAAAAAGAACAGGATGGTAGGACCAACTACAATCCGGTTTGGTTTCGAGGAGCAGTGTATGATAGTACAACTAGTGCTTACAAGTGTACACACCTGTAAACACATAAAATAGTGTGGCACAGAGACCTAGTACATTAAACATGTACTTCGTTGAATAAGTTTCACACAAATTACTTTTTGCTGACAGAAACAGTAGTTTTATTCACCAGACTTCGTGCAAGTTTTTTTAAATCCAACAGCACAAAATATACGTGAAGTAACAAAGAACAAAGTGTTTTATATAATTCGGATAAAATCCGATACAATGAGGGATCAGAATGCAGTACGCAATAGACACAATAAAATTTGCGTGAGGATTGGGAAATTGCTCGGGCGTCTATGCTGAAATAGGTGATTTTCTTAAGGAGCGACTACTCCCTGATCCTTTGACCTAAATGTCTAGTCCGTAAGGCAGTGGGACAACGTCAAGAGCTGTCATCCCGCAGTGGCTACTGACTGGAAATAGGTTCATACCCCATTTGTCCATTTAGAATCCTACGGCCCATGTACATCATTGGTTTCGAATCAGGGTTCTCCAGAAAAAGCATTATGGTATTTTGCACATGGTCTAGTGGGGGAATATAAGATACATACATTTTGTTACGGCTTAGGCATTTCTGCTGCATCACACGTTATGGGTGTCTCCATTGAGACTGAGCCAGTATGTTTTGAATGTCACTGCCACCCGGTTTTGTCTACCAGCTAACAAATTCAAATAAAACCACATCATATGTTTAAAAAGATCAAAGAGATCATCTGAAAACTAAGTACCTCAATGTCAAATTATTTATTACAATCAATCAAATCAAAAATAATTGAATGCTGACTGACCAATGAGAAAAATTCCCGAGGTTCAGATGAGAAGTTGTGAGAATAGTGGAAGGAATCCAAACATATAAAGTTTGTTTTACCCTTTGTAAACTATAGGTTAATTAACTGTACATCTTTTACCCAGTTCTGTATCATATATGACCCAATCATGCATGAATTATGATTGCTTATTTACAATGAGTTATGGTCTTCTAATTGATGGACAGTATCATGTGAGTTACTGAGTTATAACAACATAAAGCAAATCGGTAGGCTTTTCGAGTGTTCTGGTTAGGTAGGGGCTACGTGTGTAATTCATAAAAAATTCGTAGGAATATAAAAGCAACATACCTGTGACTAGAACTAAAGGTCATAAACTAAACACTTTATAGTATGGTCGTGGAAACGAACAGCTGAAAAGTTCCAAAACAGCAATAACCCACTGTCCAGTCTTTTCCACCTGGTTTTCAGTGACTTACTAGCACCACCACATAAAACCAATCAGTGAAATCCATGGTCAACAGACAAACCGATTCAGCACTTATATGTTAGAACAATAATAACAACAGAAAAGGTGGATAATGAAATTACAAGATGAAATTAAATAGAACTATGTGGTATATTAGTGTAATATTTTTCTTATCACACATGTATGATTAAATCATTCGGATTAATTCCTTTTTCTTATTGCATTATCCAGTTTTTCAAAGGAATTCGTTGTTTTAAACAACGGAACAATAAACATTCTTACGAAAATAATGAAATTACCAACAACAACAACAACAAAATAAATCTAAACCTACCCAAACAACCCATTTGTGAAATGACAGTTTGTCCATCTTCTGTAACAGTTACAAATTCCACTGTTTCAAGTATACCTTCATAATTTTCAAGTAATTCATTTTCTAAATCTTTATCTAATTCCAAATCTAGATCATCTTGATTATTATTATCATCAACATCACCATTATCATTTTTAATTACTACTTTATGTGAATGATTTTCAGTATTATGATTACTATCAATTATATTAGTTGATACAGTTGTAAGAGAAGGAATAGTGGTAGTAGGAAAATTACTAGTTACAGTTGATTGTGAACTGTTTATCTCAATTCGACTATTAGCAATATCAATGTTTTCAACGGGATCGATTGTTTTAGAGGAGGAATTCAATAATGATTGTGAAATTAATCCATTTATTATATTAGAATTATTATTTTCATCATTAATATGAAGATCAGTGGAAGAATTATTTGAAAAATTATTAGTAGTACAAGTACTATTTGTTAAAATAATATTAGTAGGATTAGAAATAGTAGTCGTGGTAGTACTAATACTATTGTTATTCACATCAATGCAACATTTGTTATTATTTGTACCACATGGTAACTTATGGTTATTTTTAAAAAAAAGAATATTTTCATTTAATTTTGAATTATTTATATCTAGTAAACAACTCTGTTTTACAGACGAATAATTTATAGTTGGATTTGAATTGTTTGATTGTAAGTTCATTTGATCATTTTCATTAGAAGCACCAATCAGAGTAGAGGATTCTATTTGTGTATTTGTCATTAAATTACAGATTTCACCAATCATCAATTGAGCTGTCATATAGCCTGTGGTATCACCTAGCTATATATATATATATATATATATATATATATATATATATATATATATATATATATATATATATGCGCCATACGTAATAAATATTTGTGTGTACGTGTGTGAAGTTATTACATGCATAGTGATCCAAGTGTATGTTCGTTTATCCACCAGATGAAATCATTTAAATATTTGTTTGTACACGTTAAAAGGAATTCGATGTGTGAGTGAGAGAAAGAAAGAAAAAGAGGGAAGATGATAATAAAACAAGAATGGGACGAGAACTAAAACAGAAATCAGCTTTGCTTTCTTAAAATTAAAAAAAAAATGATGAAACAACAAAATTCATTTCATTCATTTTCTTATCTTGTTTTTCCTCTTTTTTGACATACGATATAAACGTTAATCAAAGGAAAAGATTTTTATAATTCAAAAATAATTTATATTTGAGTGAAATATTATATATTTAGAAATAAGCGGAAAAATTGAAGAGTAAAGCTGGTAACTTTCGAAATTGTAATCGGATGGATGCAACTCTAACCCCACCTGTACCTCTTTCAGGGCAACAGATGGCCACAAGCCCACACAAAAGACGAAGGTTAGGGAGTGGGGTCAGCAAAAGTATCCCGCAGAAAACAACCTTGCTAATAATACGCTAACCAAAATAAACAATTTAAACTTTGCCCTCCGAGTTCAAGGAAGAATTATGACGCCTAATGGTGAAAGCTGAGAATCTTCATGTTATATCCCGAAACGATTTATGAATGGCAACTTTGAGGACTATTTATGGACCAATGTGATATGTATATTTCCTATTGCATAATTGTTAAGTAACTTAACTACTTATATTCATGTTCCCTTTATTATGAGCTTTATTTTGACCCATAGACTATTACTATACGATTTAGCATTCCTGAGTTATCACCAGTCTATTAATTACTGTTCCCCACATTCACAACCACATTTAACTGAATCTTGTACAAATGTTATTTTCTAATTTATAGTACGATGTGGTCTGTTTGATTGGTATATAAACTCAGTATGTTTGAAATATAATGATCCATATTGCAGAGGCTAATATTGGTGTTCTAGACTTCACTGGCTGTGTTAGGCTGAAGCAGAACCGTTAAGTACTCTAGACTGCTCATACGGTTTCTCGTGTATCATTCCTCAGATCGATAATTCACTCCTCTCTGATTGGCGAGAATCATCACGTCATATATTAAACAGGCCGCGTACGCAAGCACTCGATATAGCGCTTAGAAAGTCATGAGGCCAATGCCCCCTCTAACAACCACAGCAACAACTTTTATAGGTACATGGAACGTCCGGGCAATGTAGGAGAGCGGCACAGCTGCATAATATTCCTACACAAACGCATACACAAAGCTACATAAGTTGTCTCATCAGACCACACCACAGAGAACCAGATAGATCACATTTAAATAAGTAGAAAATTCACAATGTCAGACACGAGAAGACATAAGAACCAGAAGACGAGCTGACATAGCTCCAGATCACCATCTGATTATGGCCAAGATGAAACTGAAGCTAGAGAAGCACTGGACAACTGGGAAAACAGTATTATAAAGGTTCAATACAACCTTCCTTCGAGATACTGACAAACTCAACCGATTCAAAATAACTCTCAACAACAGATTCCAAGCCTTACAAGATCTACTGAAAGGAGAAGAAACTACTATGGAATACAACTGAAAATAAATCAAAGAAGCAACAACTTCAACGTGTCAGGAGGTGTTGGGCCTCAAGAAGCATCATCATAAGGAATGGCTCTCTATGGAGACTGTAGACAAGATTGGAGAAAAAAAGAACAAGAAGACAGAAATTAACAACAATGGAACAAGAACAGAGAAATTCAGGGCACAAGCTGAGTATACAGTAGCAAACAAACAAGTGAAGAAGAGCATTAGGGCCAACAAGCAGAAGTCCGTGGAAGACCTAGCAACAACAGCGGGAAAATGCTTCAAGACGAGGGATTATGAAACAACTATATGACACAACGAAGAAACTGGTAGGGAAATACAGTAAATCAGAGAGACCGGTCAAGGATCAAGAAAGTAAGCCAATCACTGGAATTCAAGGACAGAGGAACAGATGGGTGGAACACTTTGAGGAACTCTTAAATAGACCAGCTCCATTGAATCCACCGGATATTGAGGCAGCACACACAGAACCTCCTGTACATGTCACTCTACCAACGATCGAAGAAATCAGGATGGCCATTAGACAAATCAAGAGTGGGGAAGCAACAGGATCTGACAACATCATACCACCTGAAGCACTAAACGCAGACATAGAAGTAACTGCAAACATGCTTCACAATCTATTCAGGATGATTTGAGAGGAAGAACAAGTACCACAGACAGACTGGAAAGAAGGATGCCTCATTCGAATACAAAAGAAGGAGATATGAGCAAGTGTGGAAACTACAGAGGAATCATACTACTGTCGGTACCAGGAAAAGTTTTCAACAGGGTGTTTCTGAACCGGATAAAAGGTTCAGTAGATGTCCAGCTTCGAGATCAACAGACTGGATTCTGTAAGGATCGGTCGTGAAATGCAAGATCCTCAAATACAACACAGAGAAAACCAATTCAATCATACTTGATGAAGAAACTCTGGAAGAGGTGAAAACATTCAAGTATCTGTGTAGCATTATCGATGAACCTGGAGGATCTGTTGCAGACCTGAAGGCGAGGATTGGCAAAGTAAGGACAGCATTCCAACATTTGAAGAACTTATGCAACTCAAAACATCTGTCAACCAACATCAAAATGAGAATCTTCAATACGAACTTCAAGACAGTTCTACCGTTCGGAGATGAAACTTGGAGAACTACCACAACCATCATCAAAAATGTATAAATATTTGTAAACAATTGTCTATGCAAGATACTGATTGTCCGTTGACCAGATACCATCAGCAACAGCCTATTGTGGGATAGAACCAACCAGCATCCAACAGGTGTGAAAATTAGGAAAACACGCTCGAATTGAATAGGGTATAGATTACGGAAATCTTCAAACTGCATCATGAGACAAGCGCTATCATGGTATCTTGAAGAGAAACGGAAACGAAGAGGAACAGAAAACACACTGAGCCGGGTATTGGAATCAGACATGAATAGGATGAATAGCAACTGGAAACCACCGGAAAGTACTGTCCAGGACAGAGTTCGATGGAGAATGCTGGTGGGTGGTCTACCCAACTCTGGACGAAGGGTAACAGACCTACACCGTAAACCGAATGTAACTTTGAATGTTTGTACGCATGTAGAGAGTGGTACGCGTACAGAATGCATGTATTGACTATTAACTATATATATTAGTTATCTTAACAAATGGGTAAAAGTTAATTTCCGATTACATTTACTTTTTTCCGAAAAATGCACAAACGATTCGATTGAAGTGATAAAGCGATCGATTGACACTTCAAATTTAACTTTATATATAACTTACGTTATCAACATTGGATAAAATCACTAACGGTGTTGTATTGTTGTGGAGATTGTTGAATTCATGTCTAGAAGTATACAAAATTAGATGGGAGCTTAGTGATCTGAAGCTTAGGCGCTATCTATGAGCCCTGAAGGTCTTGGGTTGAATACACGAGTGAAGGATCTCGGACTAGGATGGAAGAGCTATAGAATACTTCCTGGTTCCCAATGGCTGTCCAACTAAAGTTAGTATGTGATAAGAAACGTTATGATCATGATTTTCATCCACGATCCTATGCGTCGGAGTCGAACTCAGGACCTGCGTGTGGGGTCGTGGATGCGCACTGCTGAGGAGTCTCACGCCAGGACGAGACGACCGTTCAGTGCTTCCAGATTTTAAATGGTGCCCTAACTCACATTGTTCCATGATTTCAACGAAATTTATTATTATCAATAGGAGAGTTTGAGGAACATTCTCAGTTAAACATTTTGGTACCATAAAAAAATGAAGTTCAACACCGTATAACGCATAGACTAAACAAATTATCAACTGGAGATTTACCTGACAAGCAATTCGACGATGACGTTTAGAGCAACGTAAAGCTAGATCATATCTTTTTAATGCAGTATAAGCATTTGCTAATGACCAATGTGCTCGACCTTCACCTATACGATCGGATAGACCACGAGCAATAATGAGATGTCTCAGTAGGAATACAACAGCAGTACCGGGTTCTCTTAATAGAATATATGTATTTCCTAAACTGAAACAAGCTTGAGCTTCAAGTGATGTGTCCTTTAAACGTACTGATAATTGTAATGCTTCTCTTAAAAACATAAATCGGAAAAAAATAATAAAGGGGGGAGGGAGGTTACTATAACGAAAATTATTTAGGGAAGTACACACACAGAGAGAGACATGAAATTCGAATAAAGCTAATTCAGAAAGAAATATTGAGTGGGAATTGATTGCCAACTCACCGACCAGGTAGATACTCACGTACTTGGCTTTGAGGATCAGTGATACTACCCGGTTGCTCAAAATAAAATAGGTGAAGAGGAATTCGGACCTGTGAATGAGTGGTTGAAAGTACTTCTAGAGTCATATTTGAGTATGACAGTATCACTGAGTACTGTGGGCAATGAGGTAAATCACTTGATGAGGTTATAAACTTAGAAAAATGAGTCTTACTGGTCAGTCTAAACCGAAGGTGAAAAAGAGAGAAGAACTCAAGCATAAATTTAGTAACAATTATTTAGGAAACCTTGAACTTCTGAACTGAAATCAAAGATATATAACGAAACTAATTGTCGAAGACCTTATGATGTAGAATAGCTGTAAGTCAGTCTCTCAGATTTAAGAAAAATTATACTTTAATTTGATTCGATTAGTAAACGCTTTATTATTTTGTACTTATTTCCTCCTCGTTCTTTATTAAACTTTTCTACCAAAATATATGTTTGAGTTTTTCATCCTTTTCATTAATTTCTGACAATATTTTGTTTTGAATTGCGACAACTTTGAACGATATGTTGGTTAGTTGAATTCTACATTGTTTTAACAATGATAGGGACGCTTGAAGATGGACTTAATGGTGCAACTAACCTTGAAATCGTTACACTTGATATTACAATCAACTAGTATAGTCCAGAAAGTCTGAACAGATACATTATTTACGTAACTCATTTACCAAGCGTAGAGAGGTCATTTTGACGAATCGAGTATTATCACTGGCTCTCATGTGAAAGTTGTGGACCTAAGGGATGGACATTGACCTGATCCTAACAAATAAAATACACTAACTCCCTCCCCATTAACCATTTATCAAGTATAGGTTAGTGCACACGGTTGTAATGTATACGATCATGTACTATGAATCGAGGCCATCTGTCAGGCAAAGGACAAATGTGCTGAAAAGCAGCCCGTTTTCTACAACTCTCTGGGTGTGAAGCATAGTTTATAAAAGTAGAAGACATACGTAGGCTGTATGTTTTTGATCAGTGCACTAGAAATATTAACCGTGTATCGTAGAAAGATTGAGTGGGAAATGTTGAGGTTACGTGTAAAGTACTAGGCAAAGACAGCAAATCGGTTAATGAGGTTAAATATCTTTATCAACTGAGGTCTTTGGGATAAGATTTATGTATATCTTACTATCACCTGCCCCAATGAGAGATGTTAGTTGGCGTGGTAGTTATAGTAAGACAGATGGAAGCTAAGGGTGGTCAAACCTAAACATGGCATCGGTTCATAAATTCATTGACTGTCGATCTAAGGTAGATTATCTGGTTGGGGTCTACACGATAACCGCTATTAGTAGCTGAAGATGTTGAGCGGGATGGCCTAGAAGTCATTACAATGGCGCATTTACTCTTTACCTTGTTCTCAATTTTGAATTCCAGTATTCCCTCATGTATACCTTTTCATTTAAGCATTTAAAGTCATTTTCTCAATGCATAGTCTTTTTCATGATTATTGTTATCACACCATTTCGATCTCTTTTGGGTTTATAACGTTGATTTCATCTTATCATATTACCGTTGTAAGGCAATTTTAGCTAATGTACATTTGTGCCAAGTTCTAGAATGACTATAAATCGAATATTTCTAGGTGAATCGGTTACAAATGCGCATGAATAGATCAAACCTTCAGAGTCCGGAGAATTTCAATATAGTTAGTACTACTTTCTTTTTGCTATCTGGGGACTCTTCATCATAAAAACAGATAGATAATATATAATTACAGCTCCTTTTGTTAATTTATAAAATGCTCTGATCGAATTTTTTGATTTGTTCATCGTTAAACTTTTATTTAATATGAATAAAAAAAGTGGAAATGTAACAGTCGATATATCATTGACCATATCCTCTGAATTATATATTAAGTAGGCTCAATAAGTAGCAAGAGTTTTAGAAATAATCTGTATTAGTAACTAGTGATTATCCTTGCAATCTATGTTATCATTTTCATTGTATAAAGTTGTACAACAGATATATTTATCAATTGTAAGCATTTTAAGAACTAAAATATTGAAAAATTTTTTATTTAACTCTTATTATGGAATACGAAATCAACCCGATCATTAGATTTTGAATTTTCGAGCAAAAATATGATAGCCATATAGTGAGCCGAAACTCAGCTGAGGAAAACTAATTTATTGTTTAGTGTAAAATTACAGAGCGTCATCGTAAAATATGAAGACCATACACTAAATACTTCATTTGCATATCATCCGTCAGTTGTCTCTCACAAACTTTATCGTTCTTTCATTCCTCTTGTTTTTAGGATTAGTTTCTGTTTACATTCTTGTTCTCTTCAATTCGATCTTTTGCTGCCAGGCTCTCCACTTCTGGTTAGTGTTACATACTACTGATATTTGTAAATATAAGTAGCATCCATCTTTTTTTCAAAAATATAATTTAGTTTATCATTAATATTAGGACAGGAAGAATAATAAATGAAAATCTTAAACAAATCCTTATGCCATAACATTTTCTGCTCGTAGAAATAAAAATATATAAACGAAAGAAAGAAATATATGATGGAATATTATAAAAAGAAATCATAGTTTTGGTTTCGAATGAATATATAAAAACAATCTTACCGATAATGTTCAACGGCCGCATTGAAATCAGCTAAAAATATAAATGCATTGCCAATATTACTATGAGCACGTCGTTGAGCAGTTAGATCACCAAATTCTTTAGCAATTTTTAAACGCTAAACCAAGTAGATATTTGAAATGAAGAGAAAAAAAAGCACGTGACTTTTTTCTCAGTTAGAGGAAAAAAATTATGAAGTGAATAAGAAGTGATGAAGGTGGACGAGGTAATGCTAAACCCACTGTGAAAATTTTCATTTCTTTATGGTCGATTTTTTCCCTACCAAACAATTATATTCCATACTTGTTCAATGTATTAATTAACGATTAGATATATGAAAGAAACTTCCGTTATAAGTATAATGAAATAATTCAATTTTAGAAGATAGTTTTAATCATAGATGGACATCAAACTATGCTGAACGATGGTCACATTAAATATTCCAAATTGATTGGGGTTAGAATTGTATCGGTGAATGATGATTTACAGGTTCATTTAATGATTAAACATTCATCACGAGACCTGAACATCCTAAGTTCGACTCCTGCCAAGGTCTTGGGAGCACAAAGTAGATGAGAAATCACATATTATGACTAAACAGCTTTCCAGCGCTTCCTTATTTTCAATGGTACCTTAACCGAGACTAATTTGTGATGAATACAGCATCAGTAAACCACACACAACTTATAATCTGACACATAATTCGATCGGTTCAAGTTACCACACCACATCTGCACAGCTAGATATCAAAGTAACATGGGTTATAACAGTATAAGTAGTAGTAGAACACATTAGGGATAGACAATATGATTCGAGAGAAAATGTGTACTCCTAGAGTGAAAGGATTTTTTGAGATAATTTGGAAACTCAGGTTCTAAAAGGAAGATAAAGAGCGAATGGATCTGTCCCAGTGAAAGCGATTTTGACCAAACCCACCCTGACTTTAACCATTGGTTATAATAGTCGGAAGGACACCAATCAAACAGTCAGCACCCGTCCACAAGGTTCACTTCAACAGTGATCAAGTTCATGGACTGATCCCACATGTTGGTTTTGTCCCCCCTAGCTTTCTTCTAAATTACTCCTACATCAGCCATTATCATCCACTGAGGTAGGGACCAATGGTTAGGCATGCATAATACATGTCCGATAATCTCAATCTATGAAGATTCATTACCTCACCAATCGATCCGCCATCCTTACTTATTATCCTGAGTTTAACCTTAACATCACATACTTGGTGATCCCAAGATACACGACCAACCCTCCGAAGACATCTACGATAAAGTGCTAGTAACCCATGAATATGAAATACAGCAGAAGCGTTTGACAGATGTCTCAAATCTTAGTTAAAAACTATTTGGTAGTTTCTATCCACAGCCTCAACATGTACTGAAACCAAAGGGCTATAGGTTTTGCAATATTTCGCGAGTTAGCTTGACAGACCAAGAGACTCTTAACAGACTATATGCTGCATCACCATTATATCTTATATATGAGATGCTAGTCGGAGTGGGCTATTTTGAGTAAATTAATTATCTAGTCAAACTGGAAATACAACAGGTGTATAGGACTAGTACAATGCAATATATAATTTTTTTAGACAAATGTAATAACCACAAGAAAAGTTTAACAGTTTACTATAGGGTTTTAAAAGTTTACTACCATCAATTTTTTACACGCAACAGATACACCGATAATCCTTAATTGCTTCATTTAGCCTGTGCTTACAATTTTGTTATTCGACTTTTTCTAAACATAGATGCCATTGCTGTTCTGCATCACAATATAGTGTTCGGGTTGGAAAAGGGTAAGAAGTATGTTAGATGCGCTTTCCTGGACTTTACTTCTGCTTTTGATTCTATTCCAAGACACCTCTTACTTAACAAGCTGATCAGCATCGACACTGACAGCTGGATAACCAATTGGCTATGTTCCTACCTTTCTGGAAGAGAACAGTACATTGTATTTGAAGGAAAGTGTTCAACATCTCTACTGTCTACTGTAGGTGTGCCACAAGGAGCTGTTCTTTCACCTTTGCTCTTCTCTTTTTTTCTGCATGATCTGCCATCTTCCACAAAAAACACTTTTGTAAAATATGCGGACGACCTCACTGTATGTATGCCGATTTCTACCTCCTTACATCCCATAGAAATGAATGAGTTCTTATCTCGTATTGAAAGGTGGTCTGTTGGTAATGGTCTCTTACTTAATCCATCTAAATGTCAAGCTGTTAATTTTAACTTGAGACATGGACAGAACCTACATTCTATTTTGGGATCAGATAATGCTTGTGCCATTGGAGACTCCTTAATAAACACAGTGTTGAAGGTCAAATATCTTGGTGTCATTTTTTCCTCTGATCTTTCTTGGTCTTCTCATGTTTTACTCTTATTGAAAAAAGTTTACCGTTTGACATACTACATAAAAAGGCTGCATGCTTTTGGGATTACTCGCCATTTACTATTACAATTTGTAAATTCCTGCATATTCCCTATTATTCTATATTGTTCTCCATTATTCTTTCCTGGGCTTTTGAGAAAAGACTTTGCTGTTTTGCGTAGAGTGCTGGAGGCGGTTTGCAAGGTATGTGGTGAATCTTTTGAAGTCATTATTAATATGCTTGTAGATAGACATCTTAAGTCTTGCAAACTCTTGGCAGGTGTTATCTTATCAGACACTAACCATCCGCTTCATTCATATCTTTCTCCTTGTATATCTTCTGGTAGAATAAGACGTAAATACATTAAAATCCATACACGCAAGTAAGTCTATAAAAGTTCTGTAATACCTTACTTAGCAAATTTACTTTGTGACGAACAGGTTGTTAGAGTTGACCTAGTAAATAACCTGTCTTCTTAAACATGTTTCAAATTTGATAATTTGTATAAACTCAGTTTTTCTTAAACCTTTTTCATTCCTTTTCTGTTTTTTTGTTTGTTTTTCTTGGGTTTTTTTTGGTAAAAAATTTGTTGAAATAACTCGTGCTGAGAATTCTATATTGTACCAGATTATAATATTGAATAAAGCCATTAATAATAATAATAATAACAATAATAATAATAATAATAATAATAATAATAATAATAATAATAATAATAATAAGTAATTATGTCAAGTATGTTTCATTTATAAACGTTTAAATCTCTTAATTTCGATATTATGGATTACAATTGATTAGTCTCTTTTAAAATACGTACATCCGGAGCGAAGCGCCTCAATGTTGCCAATAGGTCACAAGCACTTTTAAGTAGAGTTGAATAGCGGTTAGCAGTGGAATCCAGTACATGAGTTAAGTCTTATTTTGGGTTCGCCAGCTAGATATATCTGTTCAGCAGTGTTGATATTCACCCTGGAACTTGAACCCACAGCCTTTCGCCTCAAACACCCAACATGTTATTTGTTTGGCTATTCAATTCAAATAAGTAAGTGTTTAACTCTTCTCATTTGAAGCGAAAGGCAGTAATTTCGAGTTCTGAAGTGAACATCAACAAATATGCAAGTATATTCAGATGATGAATCTCAAATATAAAGGAACGAGCGTTCTGGATTCATTAAATAACCCCTATTCAACTTTTCTTAAAAAATTTATATTAACTGTTACAAATTTAGAAGCATAATGTGGACAGTATTAATACTTTACTAATTTATCAGAGTAGTTAAAAAGAAGTTTTGTAGTGATGGTTTATATGCATTATCCAAAGACAAAATTTCTATACATCAATTAAAAAATTTGTCCTTTCATTTATGGCTGTTAATTATGAGCAGAACTAAACAATATATAAGAACTTTCGTCGAAATTAGAGCGAATAGATTCACAGTATTTGAGCGCCGAGTTGATGTAAAACACTAAATAGGAATAATATATTTGTAATATCTCATATTCATTCGCTGAGATTTTACAAATATATTATTCCTATTTAGAACTAAACAATATTCATCATCATCTGCTTCTTATCGATGAATGATGATTGTTACTTTGGTTGCATTTTTCATTGTTGTTCAGTATGCACATTTTATCATCTCATAATTGATCATACATTTATTTTCACTCTCTCTTTCTGGATAAGCTTTATTAATTTCTGTTTTAGTAAGAGACAAAGCTTTAAATATAACAATTTAGCCTACAAGTTTGACTTACGAGGAATTTTTTCGGGACAATGAGAACGGAGATGTAACAGGTATATTACACAAACGAGTATCAAATTGATATATTCGATTTTTTTCTCAAAAATAAAATATTTAATTATCTCAGTTTACGTATATTTCTTGGAAAGATCATATATCACTCTCAAACAATTATAGGAAATAAAAAAATAATGAACATAGCTAGTACATACTTCTCTATAACATTCAATTGCTTCAGTGAAATTACTCAATAGATAATAAGCATTTGCTAGACTACCAAGAGCTCGACCTTCAGCAGGTCGATCACCAAGTACTCGAACTAATTCAAGACCCATTCTACATAGAAAAAAACAATTGGAAAATGCAAATAAATGAAATTTGAAATATATTGTGTTACACGTAATACATGAAAGCGTATGATATTTTTCACTTGTATGTTAAGAAATGATATCAGCGTAATAAACAGAAATAAGGTAATCTAGTGTTTCAAAGTTAAATTTATCACTATAAAGTAGTTGAACATTAAATTAACTGTAGCAAAACAGTATATATATATATATATATATATATATATATATATATAGAGAGAGAGAGAGAGAGAAAAAAAAAAACAGCTGGTATTGTGGCATATGCTACTTATGATGACCGATATAAGTAGTATGTATGTACGCAAGTGGATGGCCTGACAGAAGAAGAATGAGATTAAGAGATCAGGAAGAAAATCGAAGAGCAATCCAAATAGCAACAGAATTAGAGGAAGAATGAAGTACATTAAAAATAACGCAAAGAAGCTGTGTAAATGATGTATTTAATGTGTGATCTCCACACATTTACTGTGTGATTTTGCACTTAATAATAAACTGGGTTTTGCATCCGAGTTCTCGTTCACTACAGTATAAGTGTCTTACAAAATATTTAAGTATCCATAAATCCAGAATTCAATGTATCTCGATATATACTCATAGCTGATATAAAAGGTAAACAATAAATATCGACAGATTACAGTTAAATATGCAAAACCATTTGTAATACTTTTTAATTAAGTGATTTTTAAAGATAAGTTCCATTTGAAGGTGGTTGTTCTTTATTATCCCAGACTAATACATCAGCTGGAGAATAAAATGAATCGAAATAAGGAACATCCGACAACGGATTTCTTACCAATTTGACGTTCTTCGACAGTAAGCACACGCTACTGAGTAAGGAGTTGTTCATTTTTTCGCTACCTTTAGAGAACTTTTTCGTTTATCACTTAATAACGTTCAAATGCAATGTCTATAGCTGACTGTAAATACAGGAGGTCAGTAAAGAATTGAATAGTTTAATGATAACGTCTCTCATAGTGAAGCTGAGTAATGCATGTTTAAATCACACAGGGATCATCAGTTCTTGTAATATTGCATGTAAGTCTTGCTGATGAGTGTCAACATGCATGAAACCTCGGTACAAGGTGTTCCTCTGACTACCCTCCAACCACTCAAAAAAGTGTTCTGTCTACCACCCAACGACATTGTAAATATACGTAATAATTAGAAGTCAAGTCGATTTTAAACAAATCACATGATCAAGATTAGACTTTCAGACTTCCTGAGAGGTTAGGAAATTGTCGATCTTTATTTTCCAGTGAAATCGAAATTGGGAGTGTTTAACCTGAACAGGTAAATTACTTCATTTTATTTTATGTGAACTAGTAGGTACAACAGTGAAAACTGTTAAGTCGGCTTCCAGAGAACTCCAACAGAGCCTCCAGAGGCTCAAAAAGAGCCCCAACCAATCAAAGTACGACAGAACATTCTGGAGTTCCAACGCGGCATGCTACCATTGGTCGGTAGCAATATATGTCGTTAAATGGATTGGCTGAATTAGGATGTTGATTTAACTTAAGCAAACATCTATAAATACCTACGATTTTCTGTACAAAAATGAACCTTGCAGTAAAGTGTTTTCTCTCATACTCGAGTCTTCTCCCTGGTGTTCAAGTCGCTGAGTAGTTCTAGCCTGGGGTTATCAGAATAGCTTAGGATCTGAATAAAGCGTTCAACTTACAAGACGTATCAAAAACAAATGCAACATTACCCACAAAATAAATTTAATCAACTGCGGAAAGCACTAAATTAAAAAAAGTGGGGGTTCTTTTCCCCTAGACATGCAATAACACACAGTAATAAAAGTACTATCCATTCGATTAGTTCACATATACAACTACTGACATAAACTTGATTCAGAAAATGTTAAAATTCTGGATCGAGGAGATTCTAAGAATGAGAGAGAATTTCTATAAGCATGGTACTTAAGTCAACTTGGAGTCAAAAGACATACAGATATAAATGCATTTTACAACTTTACGCGGGAAAAATCAACAAATCATATGATCAAAGGCCAATTTAACGAAACAGTCAACGTGAACACAAAGACATATAGAGATGATAGAATCTGAAACGACAATGATTTAGAAACAATGTCACCAGAACAGACTGACTTGGTACCTGTGGAATAATTAGAAAGCTTTTTTCTACTTGAAGCAGGTGCTTATCATATTATCTAGAATAACAACGAAAGCTTCACAATTTAAGCATTCAGCTTAGAGAACACAACACTACCAAAAGCTATATCTAGAAGATAAATAATGAAATAGCCTTGCATAAAATCGTATTAAACATGCGAACACTTGGATGTTGGCTCAACGGTCTAGAGGTTGGGTGTTCGCCACGGAACTGAAGGTCCTGGGTTCGATCCCCGGTTGGTAACAAATGAGTATTGGTGAGGCATCCCGCATTAGGACAAAATAGCTGCTCAGTGCCTCCTGGTTTGCAACCAACGTCAGCAACCAAACGTCAGTTTATGGTGTCAATGAAATCGTATTAGTTTCAGTCGATAAACATTAGAAGCTATACAGAAAATAGGAAAGCAACACAAAAGGTGAAAGATATTTGCACACAATACAGAATCGAAAGACGATTAAACGGTGAACATAACATATTAAATAGGACGTTCAAAAACTAAAAAAAGTAGAGAAGTATATTTTCAAAGTTTTATGGTCGATTTATGCTAATTTTCATAAACCTCAAGTCACTTCATTATGTTATCCAATAACTGTGAAAGAATGGTGAATTCCACTCAGTCATAATAATTAATATTTCCAAAATCAATTTCTATTCCCGCCGTCATTATTATAGAGGAGGTTTTTGGTGAGTGATGGGATGAATTTTTGTTTTGTCAAAAAGGAATGAGAAGAATGGTGACCGACATTTGATATGAAAATGTGGCTGAGTGACAGCTGCTTACGAAACTGTGTTATTGAATTAATCTAGCCAGATAAATAGGCTTTCTATGTATTAAAATAGCATGTTTGTATACAGAATAAGAACACGAAATAAATATGATAAAATATCATAGGCAACTAAGAGAAATCAGCGTATAAGTCACTGATTCTCCAATCAATTAAGACCTGAGACTGTCAGGTCAAATCTGTGCATCGTATCATAATAGGATATGGAACATAATAAAAACTATTGTGCAACAATTACTACCTAGCTAATATTTGAGTAGTGAACAATCCACATCACTGAAATCACATATGAACGTAATGCAAGTCACTAAGCGTTGAATCACAGTATTTTTTAAGTTAAATAATTTCAATTCAGAATATAAATGGACCCGATTTAAATATCAAACCGTCAGAGGCTTCATCTTAATTAGTTTTTTCTTCATTTCTATTAATAAGTGATAATTTCAGAGTGTAAGGAAGCGGGTGGTAACTTCTTCTAGCTCATATTTCCCCAACGATCCTAGATGTCTGTTACTTTTTTGGTTGTTCTCGATGTTAGTTTATTACTTGTGTTCTTCAGGTTCATTGTTGTTGCCATATGAACAGAGTCATCCTATAACAATATTGACTTCTTTAAACACCGATCTCTTTCCTAAGTTCCTGGTTTCATTTATTTTCATTGAGCGGAAGATCATTGTTGAACTGTTATGTTTTAGTCGTTTATTCTACCTAATAGTCTGCATAGATTTCGTTTTGTAACAGAAGAATCCCCAAAGCATTTGTAGTTTAGAATAAACTACCTGAAGTTTGTGCTGATGGTACTATTCAGCAGAACAATGAAAGCTCCAGGACCAAACCATCCAGCTAAGAGAACAAAACTCTACCTACAATAAACGTAAGCTATTCCGAAATTAGAATACGAACGTGACTGAGAACTAAATACATTTGTAATTGTTCTACATAAGCATCCCTAATAACGACATATACAAAGAGATGAAGAAAATAAGATATATATATACTTACTTGTAGTATTCAGCAGCTTTTCTTTGTGCTTTAACTGCATCAGCTGGGAATTCCCCAGAATCCGGTAACCATTGTTTTCCTTTGGCTTGATATACACTACCTAGATTGTATAACGCTCCAGCTTCTGTCCTCTACATAACCAAGTATTAACAACAATAACAAAATTTTTGTGAGATATTTATCTCCAATCAATTCTGAAACGTTACTGTTTAACATATGAATTAATAAGCATCATTAATATCACATAATGGTGAGAACTAATTTAAATAGAATTCATTTAATGAAAAATATTTTTTTCTTATAACAGTAGAAGAAAAACAGTCTAGGTATTAAGAGAACTAGGTGATCTTTTAAATAATATCCGATTGATCTTATGTGATATAATAATCTCAAGTTAATAGAATATCATTAATCTCGATAAGTATTAAATGATTATAAAATATATCCATTGAAACTTTGATCACTTACTAATCACTTAGTATTTGGCTATTTAATTACCAAACAATTATTTCATACCAATAATCTAAAATTCATGTCTTTTTTTAAAAAATTATGTTCATTTTGTCTTTCGTGTAACAATAAGATGGAGACAAGGGTGAGTACGATTATGCAATGAATATAATCTACAAGTTGAACCAAACTCAATAAAACCTCTGCAAATAAACTGTAATAGACAACTCAATAGTGAATTAGTTCAAGATGATTTCCTGAAGTTCTAATAAAATAGTAGTCATTTCCAGAGTGAAACAGTTTTGGTGAATTGTATTGGATTATCATCACGCTACATCGTAAAGTTGGGATTTCAATATTGAACGCCAATCCAGTGGTCCTAATGGTTAAGCGTCCGCCACCAGGTTTTTCAAGATCCTGGGTTCCATCTCTCTAGGAAGAAACAATTGTCCAGTGTACGCTAGTTTTTAACTCCAACTGAGACTAATCTCTGACGAATATAACCTACATATGTGGTTGATTGTTAAATCACTTTGACTAAAACAAACCAGTAGATTCAGTTTCACCGGAAGTTATCACTCGATAGTCACATTCTTACGATTCTCATTATTGTATGATAAGCGTAATATTCTTCATTCCGGAAAACCGAAATGTATACATGACAAATTCACACCTCTAAACAAGAATGCTTATTAACCAAAGACCCATTAGATTGCGTTTATAACGTGTTATGAGGAAAATAGTTTGCTAGTGAAAGAAAAGGCAATTTCCTGAATACTAGTTGGTTAGCATCAGTCAAGATAAAACCCTGAAAAGCACGGAGTATTTGTAATATATCGAAAAAAATGAAACTCATCTAAAGGTTTGGATCTAAACATCCCACAGTTCTACATTTTATCAGAGACATTACCACTGCGTTATTTTGAAAGAGATTTGCTTCTTGTAAGGCAGATATTTGGAGTGATTGATTGCTGAGTAGTGATAATTAATTTTATTTTTGAGACTTTTACGCTAATCGAATTCTATCGATCAAAAGTATATGTATTCGAATCGGACATTTCGTATATATATATATATATATATATATATATATAGGGAGAGAGAGAGAGATTATGTACCTCATTAGGCCCAATGCATTAGGTATTTGAATATATCACCGGTGCATAACGTCATAACAATAAGAAACACTCATTCTACTCTGCTAGCAGTTTACAATGTAAGCAACCACCAGGGTGAAAAGAAAATCTCCTTCCTTAAGGCTAATCTCTATGGGACAAATTCATTCATGAATAAAATGTTTGACGTTAATACAGTCAAACGAAACTTAGTTAAAGATATTTCTTCAAGTAATTTTATTCAGATTATATTGGAATAATTTTTGCGATGTACGGTATTATTCACCTGGTTAAGAAATAATGAAGATTATAAAGTGTAGAATCTAATCACAAACTCGTTAGATTCACAAGGATTTCTGTAGCGAAGTGTTTACACTAAAAAAACTGGGAAAATTATTATTTCTACTACGACTACAAACAAACGAATTTAATACGTGAAGCATAAGCATGAAAATTATTCTTTATTAATAACCAGTTACGTAATAGAACTCGTAAGTTTAGATTATCAGGGTATGGAACATGCCAGTCGTATTACAACTACTTAGTCAATCATAATCATTGTAGACTGTGGCACAAATGAGCTCAAGTTTACATATCATATTAACATGGTGAATCGGAATCAACAAGATGAGTGGCGAAAAAATAATGAGACCAAACATCGAGAAAATGATACGAAAAAAAAACATGGTTAAAGGTATGGATAAAAGAACATATAAACTAGAAATTTCAAGTGAGATAAAGAGTGGATGTATTTATTTTAATGTGACTGGTTCTGACATATTTTACCCAAACTCTCCAACTAACAATAGTGGTCATAGCGAGGATCTCAATCAGGTAGTTCGTATCTATAAACATACTTCAAACCCAACAGTCAATATATTTGTTTGGTTGTCTCTAGATACGGCCGAGAGTGGGGACAGTCCGCTCTCCCTCTCGAAATACTCTCACATGGCCACGCGGATATAGTTTCTGACAGGGAAGTTCTACCCACTGCCTTATCGTGGCAGGGGTGTTGTTTACAAAATTGAGAGGACGAAAAGAAAATGTCTGGCGCTTTAACCGGGTTGGTGGACGCGGAAAGTCCACCTAGAAGAGTTTGAAAACCCTGATTCCAAACCAATGGTGCACATGGTCTGACTCCAGGATCCTGAGGGAACAAATGGCGTACGAATCAGTCGTTGGTCACCGGCTACTATGGGACTGCATCTCCTCACGATGCTCCACTGCCTTGTGGATCAGACCTTTAGGTCGGAGGCTCAAGTTGTGGCCCCCTAAGAAACCACCTGCTTCAGTTTTGGCACCTGGGCAGTATCACAGCCCTCACACAAATCAAATATTTGTGCGGCGCATATTTATCTGGTGCCCCCTTGTACCAATATTTATGTGTTTAAATAAATAAATAAAACAAAGGTTTATGTTAACATACTCCGCCAGACAATATCGCACCTTGAAGTAGGCCATTTTTCGGTATACGTAACGCAAAGTCCAACAACTTCAATTGATCAAGATACCTAACCCCATTAATCGATTGAACATTTTTGCTTAGTGCCCTATGCCTAGCACCAACATTCCCTACTCGATCGTTTCACAATACACAAGCAGCCTATAATTACTACCTAATCATAGCTACTTTGTTACCATATAAACAAAGTAGGAGAGATTAAGTTGAAGTAATTACAGGAAGTTTCCAAACTAGGAATTAACACCTAATGCTTTTGTTGGTCAATAAAATAGAGATTTTTATACTAATTAGTATAAATTATTCAATCACATACTTAGATTGTGATTTTAGATTGATTAAAAAGAAACTAAAGTTCTTTTTTGTTACATGGTTGGAGGAAGTCTACAGGAAACTCAGAAACTACGTTTCATGTTATCTGGCACTCATCAGCAGGGTGTCTGTAATTTTGGGAATTTGATCTTGTGTCACCCAGCTTCACAGTCCTAGATGTTACCACTGGGTCAGTCAAGCCACAAATAATCTTCTGTAAGACTGAGATATTTAAAGTTGATTGTATATCCTGGGACCACCGAGTACGTAATGCAGTTGTTAGGAAACAGATACTAGGTAAGGACGGCAAATCGATTGGTGAAGTAGTGAAACTTCATCAATTGAGATGACTGGGACATGTGTTACATATGCCCAACCACCGACTGCCCCAACGTGGGCGAGTGTAGGTTGGAAGAAATCTAGGAGTGGCCAGACCTAAACGTCGCGCAAATCCATGAAGTCACTGACAAGTGGACTGAGCCATGTTGGTAGGTGTAAACTACCTGGTTGGGATTCGCGAGATGATAGCAACCGATGGTTAGAGACCTTGAATGACATGGCTCAAAATCGTTTGCAATGGCGAAGGTGCATTCACTTTTTGTGTTCCCCAAATTTTAATCTTCTGAATCCTTTACGTCTCTTTCTTTTTTTTTCCAAATTTATTTCACTGGATTATACTCCTTCAATAACATCCTCAAACCTTAATCTTTCACATTACTGCTTATACTCTTACTACTTCTACCCTTATGGGATTTGAATCGATAACTGCATCTCTGCGCTAATGTGGTATGGCAACTCGAACTGATGTACGTACGAATTTATACGTTGTGACTGACTGACTGAGTTTAGTAAGGGTTATTTATTTATGCAGAAAGATGACCCTTCAGGTTGAAAATCTTTTTATAAATACAAAGAAATGAAACAATGCAGCAATTGTTGTAACGTCATTAGAATTACCAATCAAAAGATTTACTTTGTCATTTAAGTGTCTAGCAATTGTTAATTCATGCGAGAAACACATTATTGCCTCGTCATATTTGCCCATCATTTGAAGTGTATTACCGAGATTTCCTGTTGCAAATGCTTCACCAATACCATCACCCATTCTTCTATAAGGAAAACAAATTATTGTAGACTGTACACTAATAATAACGGTCTCAATGTATATTACAAAGGTACAAAATTTACTACAAGATGTGAAAACTTTGATAATTACTCCGCTTTCTTCATATATGTAATGATTAGTTTCAGATTCTCTTCAAATTAAGACCATAAACTTATAACAGATAAATGAATTCGAAATTGACGAAAGCAGTTGATATTTCGTAATAAAATCAAGAGAATAAAATAAACACCTTAAGACAAATATAAAGTACTAATGTTTGCTCTCATGTCTGATTATCTGTTAACCATAGTTTCCTGAAACAGTACTTGGAGAAAATTTGACAAATATCAGGAATTTGGATGTACATAAGGTATGTGTGAATTGATGACCATTTACAAAAATAGTTACATCAGTTTATAGACAGAATCTTTTGTTTGAAATCTGGAGGTACAAACGCGTTACTCCTATACCGAAAAAGGTTAAAAAGATTTACGAAATAGATACAAATCAAGCTCATGAATGACTGAACAGTATTTCTATACCTCAAGGATGTAGTAGATTGGGCGTTACATATACGGGTTTTTTTATGAATTATTTATTCATGTGGACCGCACCAAGGTTAGGACATAGTATTACCTGAATATACCCTCCAAATAAAAATGGGATGAAATTTTCATAAAGTTCCACCATAATTTATAGTACAGAACAGTTGGTGCATTCACAATATATGTTTAAATACGATATTTTCACCTTTAATGTTGGTAAATCTTATAAAAATGCTCAATAAAACAATTTCCACATCTTATTAACCATTATATGATCAAAGCAGATGGAGTACGCAACCGTTTTGTACATCAGTAATTTTACGTAAACTTATGGAAATATCTGTATTTACTATTTGCTTTTCAGATTTGGTTTACTGCTATGAAGAAAAATCGATGTCTTAAATCCTGACTTAAAATAAACCTTAAAAAGGTAAAGACCACACTTATATCAAGACCTGTATGACATTTCTGATCTTTTATCAGTTTCCCCTAATTTATTGTATATTTTGTTAAGAAAGGACAAGTAAGTCAGGTTTTTAAAGCTTTACCAATATATTCACATTTTTACAATAACTAAGAATAAATTTGAATACATACGATAAATATCGGTAGATATGTTTTACCTAGCTAGAGCAAGGTTCCAACGATGATATTCCAAGGCTCTGGTGTAGTCTTGTTGGTAGAAATAAGCATTGCCCAGCTGACAATAAACGACTGATAAACAACTAAGATCATCTGTTCCGATCGCTAGTGCTTTAAGAAAATAAGATATTCCTTTATTCCAGTCCCCTTCACGGCAAAATCTTTCACCTTCCATAGCAAGATCCAAACACGGCGTTGGTATTGTCAAATTTGAATACGTCATATCGAAAGTTAAAAATTAAGTACCTATATTTTTAACACAAAAAGAAGCGTTGAGTTTTTACGTAGTGAAACTGAACAAGTTTTTTTTCGCTTTGCAGAGAAGTAAAAACAAACAGTATTTTGAGAAACATTATGAAAATAGTTAAGATTAAACATCCTGACGGAAAGCAATCATTTCTAAAGTCCAAGTTAACATGACTGCTAAAGGTCAGGGAATTCGATATTTTCACATCATGACGACAGGTATGATTTACAACCAAATGCGTAACAATGCATTTTATTGGACTATTTCTTATAAGGTAAACCATTAACACAAGGAGATGCACAAAAGATATGACCATAGAAACGAGAAGATTCGAAAAACGCTGATCCTGGTGTGGTTTTCTATGAAAATCTTGATAAAAGTGGACTGAACTCCACCAGCTGATCTTTCATGGTGGTATTTTCTGAAATAGACTGTACATTTAATTAAATACCACTTCTGTTCACTTATTAGTTTTATGCTCCTTTTCTACTTTTCCTCAAAATATCAATTCATTAGTATGGCACATTTATTGGTGCCCTAATGTACCAGGAGTTTTGAGTAGATAGACAGACAAACAAAAACAACATCTATGATGACTGCATGAAGAACAGTAGAAGGATTCAAGGAGAGATAAACAGTGGATAGATCTACATTAGTGTAGACAGTTTTAAGCCACCAAATACAAGGTTTCCAAACACTGATTTCCATTATCTCTGTAAACAAGAATACAAGCACACATTTTGACAAGGCTAAAAAATTAATAGTTACCTCATAAACCCATGTAATATCTTGGTTTATTCCCACCTATGTTAAGTGTCATCAGTATCGCATAGTGAGCCGAGAGGCAACTAGATACGAGTTACACAGGAGTCAACATAGTCGGTACAGGTTTATAACAATGTCCAGTGGTTATTTTCTGTCTTTTGATATTGCTGGTCAAAAACTATACTCCCCCCCCCAAAAAAAAAACATAGACCAGTCTACTATAAGTGACTGAATATAACTGCTCTTTCAAGGAAAGACATTCATGTTGAAAAAAGGTGGTCTAACATCCCACTATTGAACAGCTTACAGCCAAGTCGTAAATATAAAACATAGAATATTGGTTACTACTTCTAAAGCGTGATTGATGCTTCTTATGACAGCTACTAGGAAAGCAATTACAAAAATGCTGAAACAAACAGCAGACAATAGTACGATTTCAAACACTTAAACGGTGATCAAAATCAAGAGATCTAGGAGAGAGACGTTAACGTATATGTGCCTCAATGACTAGTCACTGAGTTAGCTAATTCGAAAGTACATCCTTTTGGATCGTTAACTGACTACTAACAGTACACTGACCATAGTTGCGATTGACACCAAGATATCTTCACTAAGTCATATTCTTGCTTCATGAAAATCAAAAGGAACTTGGATGCGCTTAGTATATCAGAAGGGATTTACAAGTTATGTTATTTCCCTTTTTTGACCCGAAGAAAGCGTTATTGACACATTTTTATTTTTAGAGCCTGTTTTTACTAGTCTCGGTGCAGAAGTCTATATGTGTTAGAAATATACGCTAAAAATAAAAACAACCAAATCGCTATTTCATCCCAAATATACTCAAGATTTGAAGCAGTATCAATACAAGGTAACCACGACCTTGAAGATTTAATACTGGCACTACTTCATCCGTCAGTATTATGAATTGTTGGTCACTTGCCTTGTGTGAAACCCAACATCTTGTTTCCCGGTGAAAATTTAGCGTCTCCTTAAAAATTTTCATCGATAAAGCTGACAATACCTGTTCGGGGAAGGTGTTGCAGTTATTTACCATACAGTGAGTAAAGCGGAATCCCACTTTAACTTTATTGGATAACGGTTTTTGAACCTTATTTCTGTAGCCTTGGAGATGATTAGTCCTGAAGCGAGCAAAAAGAAACGACATGTTATTAAGCACATGAAATACCAATATAAGGTCACTTTGCGTTCAACGAAAAGATAAGTGGAAATGATTCAGACTTTTTAGATTCTCATTGAAATGGAGTTTGGGAAGACCATTTACTAAGTTTGCCCCTACAATTTGGACAATTGCGAATGTGTCGGCATCCCGGTAAGAAATTAGCCAACTTCTTGGATGCAATACATTAGGTATGGTCTCAGAGAGGTGGGGTTTGAAAACCGAAACATATTCTCGTTAAAGTATTTGAATGATTAATGGAGTGACTATAACACTCGAAAACCCTCAAAGTATGGCGCATTGCAAACCTCAGTTGTTTTTAAGCCGTGAATTAGTGTTACTTCCAAGTATTTTTGTCCCTGCAAACGTGGAAGTGATGTACAGTTTACAGTTGACTAGCAACAATTGCCATGTCTGGTTTGTATTAACACACTCTTTCTTGAATTAATTTTTCATCCCCGACTTTGAGACCATCTGACTAGTTAGCTTAGGCCAGTGGGAGGATTACGATGATCAGTCTCACCACTTATTATTAAGGAATTTCGTCTAAATTTGAAAGGACACTTTCACAGTAGTTGAGCGCCGAGTTAATTTAAAATGCTAAGAACGAAAATCATATCTGTAAAAACCTCGACGGTTGAACTTTACGAAAGTTCACTGTTTAGCTTGGAAATCCAGTCCAAGCGATGGGTTAAATGAAGTAGAATCTTATGTGGAATTCAAGTTTACTTATGAATTTTTAGTTGTTGTGAAACAGTTAATCGTGTTCCATTCCTACTACCAATACTGTTTGGATTTGCCCATATTTGCAGGGTTTCTGTTTTTAATTATTTATATATATTTCCCTGAAGAAGTCCAGACAAGTTGGCTGGACGAAACGTTCGAACTATTTATATTTCAATCGCTGAGACTATTTCAAATATAATTTTTTCACATGTAATGAATTCTCTATACTCGGCGCCCAATTATTGTCAAACTATTCGTTCTAACCTTGATGAATATTCGTATAAGTTTCTGTTTTTAGTTTTTCTTTCTACGAACTAGTACCTTTCTGGAGGATTTTGTGAGAGTGAAATGGATTATATGTCCCGACTCTATTGAGCGTAATGACGTCCCTGATTTGTTTTCTAGTTTTTTCAGCTTATCCGAGGATTTAAGAGTATGCTTCAAGCTAAGTTTGTGGTCCTTCACCCCTGCCTGCAGTTTTCATGATATTTCACCTACATATGAACTATTACAATCACCACATTTGATCTCATATACATAATTTAGTTGTTCCTCTTTTCGTAATATATATCTTTCATTCTTACCTCTCTAGAGCTTAGGATATTTGTTCATAAGATCACTCTTATATTTTGAAGATTCATGATACTTTTGGTCTCTTCTGAATTTCTTTTATGACAAATGATCCCCATCATGTTAGCCCATCCCTTTGCTTCATCTCTTTTCTTATCTTTCCAGTATTATCTCTCAACTAATCTTTTTATAAAATCCCTGAAAATAGAATTTATCATCAAAGTGAACATAAGTTTATTTCAATATTTTGCCACTTGGTTCCGTTACGAATTTTTGAACTCTGTCCATTGGATTTTTGGTATTTGTCGCTTTGGTAGAACGGACACGTATATTGACTTGTATTCCAGATATTGCACAGAAAATGTTGGCATTCGTAATAAACTGACCTTTATATAACCATTATGTTTCATATTAACGAAACAGCTCAGAAAAAGTAATTTACAGTCAGGGGACTCCATTTCTGATGAATTTGATGCTGTCAATCATACTGTTGATATTTTAAAAATTCATCTCACCTACCTTCTTTTTAAAATGACGACAATGTCTTCTACGTACTTCAAAAGGATGTTCGGTTAACGGGGACACATACTCTTCGTTCACTGTGGTGGTGCTTGGGGTACACCACTTTATGACCAGCTTCCACTGAGACAGTGTTCAATATACTCTTACCATCTGACTTTGGCTATGTAAGAAGTTTCTTATCCACCCTTGTACGTTGCCTGTTATTTGAAAGCTCGAGACGTTCTACATAGGTCCTAGTTGAGAAACTTATCAAATGCTTTTTTAAAACTATATCATCCTTCAAGTCCCAAAGGAGTTAAGTTTGAGAAAAGTTGGACGTTAATAGGTAACTGAAGAACAGATTTCTTAGTTACATGGACTGGTCTCGTAGCTGGTATATTAGAGATGTAGTTATGAGAAATGCTGTTAAGAATAGCCGTAGAGTTGGCCTCACAAAGATAGATTGATGCAGTATCAGCTCTGGCCAAATCTGATTCAGCTAATATATCTGAATTTTCGTGAGACAGTAATGCAGGACTTCCATCTCCATGTTTTGTTCTTCTCTCAGTATACGAAAACACTTGTTTTTAGCGAGTATGGCTTTTGTGTGTCAACTGTCTTTTGCAAGTGGTGCGTTATCTCCCAATATTATTTCTGCATATATTCCGGGCTTTTCGGTACTCACAACTAGATGGTTTATGGCCTCTAATAAGGGCAAGCCGCAGGAATGTTTTCTGCACTACAACAACCTTAGAGTTTTTCCGGCTGATCCTTGGAGGGTAGTATGATGGTTGACGTGTTGACCATCAGATGAACGATAGTATTAAGGACTCGAATGACGTTTCAAACTTATTTCATTTCAGACTGACCAAGAGTTTGATCGGCGGAATGTTGGCCCATCAGATATTGAGGCGAAGTAGAGCAGGTACACACTGGATATTGTGTTCGAAACCTGGAATGACTTACAGCGTGATCAGTGTTCGTTGGTGCGAGCAGGTGCTGAATGTCGGGGACATTGGCCCAGTAGTGTGTGAAGACGAAGTCCAGTAATGATGGTTCATGTTCCAACACGTGTTTGTTTTGCAATAAACTGTACAAGTGCACACTGAATGGTGGTTGTCAGCAGGCTGTCGTCAAAACATCTGCCTGAAGTCCTAAGCTTAATCCAACGGATGCTGAAGAATCGAAATCTCCAACGATGTGATAACAATAAGCTCTAATTCAGGTACAGATATTACTTAAGGCGCAGTTATCAGTAAGG